ACAAATGTTTCATTTAAAATGAGATGGACAATGAATCAGGTTGACGTAGGCTGTTCCTTTCGAAATACACTGTGGAATGGGCTAATAGCCCTTTCTTGCCATCAATTGCTGTGCCTAGCAATGAAGTGTGCTGGAGCTCCCCAACCATCCTACACTATGTGAATGATATTCAGATAGTTAGAAAGATAGCTTTATTCAGAGGGCTTTATTCGCTGCACTAAAGACAGGCAGGCAAAATTTGCAACCTAGTGCAAAGCTTCACTCTCAGCGACAGCAGGCCCACATGTCACTCGGTGACCAACTTGCGCCATCTTCTCACTGTGAGGCAGTTCTTTACATGCAAGAACTGTCAACTTAATAACTAGAACATGCTGGTATTGTGTATAGCTATTAAACACTTGTCTAATGCTTTTATGCCCTATTGCTTGCTGTAAAGGCAGATACAAGCAAGAAGTCATAGCAACAGCAATACGATTCGCACACCAGCCTCCAATGTGGAACCTAATTGATAGCTTAATCAAACCTCCGACAGCAGCAGTTTTGCATAAGGTCTATTGAGGATTGCTCAGGTGCCCTCAGATTTTGTGTAGTGAGCAGAGAGCTCTCAGGCTTGAAACACGAGCAGGGTGTCACATTGTTTTGTGTGATTCTTATACTTCTCCGGACATAGCCTTCCTTTTGGAATGGCTATCAACATTCTTCGTTTCAGTATTTCCTGTATCTTGCGCTTCAAAATCCTAGAGATTCGTTCCATTCAACATCCTGCTTATGCTTCAGGCCCCTTGGGAATTTCTAGCAGATGACACTTCCTGAATATGCAATCTGTCTGACTGCTACGTCTTTTAAGTGATGGGTGTGGGTGGGCTTGAATAATGTTTATTGTGTTTTCACTTTTACCATGCGACACTTCTTGAAACACATCGGAGATACCGAGCTAGAGGTCTAGCTCCCTGTAATATAATCCACTGTGTCGCCATCCTTCAAGTTGGACTCCTTGTTTTCATAATCAAGCAGTCATCTCACCGTTACATGCGTTTCTTCGTAGGTTTTGTTCTTCCCAGTCTTGTATTTTTTTTTGGCCCGCTCACATAGTTTATGAAATTTGTATTACATGAAAGATTTGTAATGCAACTTCAGTGTGAGCTAGCAGAAGAGGCTGTACTGAAGCATCAATGTTAGATTCAGCATCAACGAACGATTGGAACTCTCTGTCGAGACTTCTCCAGCTACTGGATATTACCTGTAACACAGCACTGTATTGTCATACACTGGAACTTTGTTATCGTGTGGCGCGATTGGTTCCCCGTTAGCCTCCTTGAAATGCAAAGACCAGGTCGCTGATCGTGCTTCAGCCGACATTCCATATGAACACTGCAATTTTTCTTTCGATGGCCTTAGAATGTTTTCTGGTGCTATGTGGAAAATAGTTTTTGAAAAAGACTCAGATTAATGTCTATTCTATACGCACCTTTTCCAGACTTATGGTATTTATTATTCATTAATTAAACTTTATTAATGCCCTTTGCATGTTCATGTAGTAATGCAAAGTCTGTTCAAACAGTGCCACCTGTCACAGCAACTAGCTCTGTTATGCTTCAACAGTGGCCAGCTATAGAAATAAATCGATACATTAAAATGAGACGTACTGCCATCAATACCTCATACCGCCACCAAAGTTTTCAAGTTAATGAAGAAGAGCAGATGTATTTACATAGAGCTTGTCGGTCACCAGGATGCTTAGAAGAAGGTTCAGTATATTCATGTTCTTTAGAAGATTTGACTTCTGGTCTTGTTGCTCAATCTTCTAGGCCACCTCTGAATTACTCTTTGCATGCGCATAATGGGCTGTGACAATATACCGTCAATAGTTTCATTTTAAGCAATAATTTTAAAAGGCATTAAATTTAAACAGTTTATTTTTCCACCAGTCGTGGTGCAACCAAATGTGACGGAAAGCAATTGCTTGTGGAATCGCTGGCCCTGGCAGTCTGCAAAAATAATTGGAGTAGGTAAACCTAAGAAAGCAACACAAGGTCAAGACCAATGAGAAGACCTAGAAGTCTAGCAGAGAACGTATTGGTTTAGTTCCCTCTTCTTCTTTTTTTTTTTATTTCTGGAAAGCGTGGGCCTGAAAAGTGCAAATGGGTTCAGTTACGGTAAAAATGCTGCATAGAGCAATTTGACCCAATTAAGAAATACCGTATTTACTCGCGTAATGAACGCACTTCTTTTCTCGAAAAATCGGAGCAATGTTGGGAGGTGCATTTATTATGCGGGGTAAATTTTAGGCAAACTTTTACGGGAGAAGCAAAAAAAAAATGCGGTAATGCAAAGAAAAAAAAGTTAAATCGCTTAGCCTTTCGCAATTCACATACGACTACACTGTTTGGAACTAGCTTCTTCGTTGCACTTTACTCATCTTCGATGGTTGATGGCGCTATCTTCTGCAAGCTGTCCCCGGGGCCATAGAGTTTCCCACAATACTAACTAGAGGGAACTCTGACGCTAGTGTCTATGGGAGCTGCAACGCGCGGCACTTCAACGAGCATGGAAATGATGGGTAGTAGACGGATTTTCGTACTTCTGGCCTGCTTCTAGCTCCGTGTGTGTTCGTGTGGCTTGGAGCTGTTTCTTCACGAAAACATAAATTAGCAAATGTTCACCGTTTGTGCTCCACAACCTTATTCGTTTAAGTTTACTATTTCGAATCAAGTCCCTAAGTTCGAAAGGTTTCGTTCTTTCTTTCAAAACAAAACCGAAACACAGCAATAAACAAAGCCGCAAGTACGAAGACTAGGCAAATGTGTGTACTATCCATCATTCCCCTGGTCGCTTCCTCCGTGCCTCTAGTTAATTTTGAGAAACCTTATGCCCGGGGCCGCCCGCGCACGCCATAAAAACGTTTTGCGGCTGTCTTTTCTCCCAATTGTTTTGCCGCAACAGTCGTATCTGCTGTAATCTCGAGGGGGCGCCCGAGAGCGTGCGCTACGACGCACTTTGCCAACTTCGCGGCAACCTAGCACGATAACCGTGACGGCGCCGTTAGCATTAATTGCAGCAAGCACGACGAGGTCGTGGTTGCCATGGAAGAAGGAAAAATTTTCCTTCCTCCATGATGGTTGCAAGAAAGCAACATTGCAGCAATTGCTACCCCCGAAGCATCAACGCGAACCGTCGATAACAAGATTAACGACAAAATACGGCCGCCCCCGCCTCGCTTCTACATGAGAAGTGCCTCTACGCGTAGATAACAAGCAAAGCGAGAATCGGGGGTGCTACCGTGTTGCGGAAATCACCAAACGATTTTTTTTCAGGTTTTCCAGAAACCTGCGACGTGATAGCGACCAATGACCCTTCGCGACAGCAAACCCTGCCGCCGTTGCTCGAAAATCGCGTGCCCGCGTTTGGGCTTTTTATTTTGGAGGGGGGGGGGGGGGGGGGAGTGATGATTCTTTAGAAAAAGGCGGAAAGGTAAAAAAAAATTGCCCGCAGCTTCCCTCGGGGGAACACTGAGGAGGATGCGGAGCATATAATTGGTTAACGGGGTGTTAAAGTGCGACTTACTTGGGTCGATGGCTAAATTGGTTAACGTGGTTGTGAAATGGGGTGTTAAATTGCGACTTACTTGGGTCGATGGCTAAATTGGTTAACGTGGTTGTAGGAGGGGGTGTTAAATGAGTGAACACGTACACACGTATGCGAAAGGACGGCGCTGGTCGAAGGGACGTCGATCATTGTGTTTGTGGATTCGTTGGAATTCATTTCACCGCGACCTTGGACGTCGACGCGCCGTACAAACCAACCGACGAGCGGCAACTGAGCGAGCGAGCGCCGACCTTGAGTATATATACAGCGCTACGGCGCATGCACTGTCAGCTGTTGAATGTTCTCGAAGGAGAAGCGCGCGCGCGGCACAGATGGCGACGGCGCATGCGCTGTCAGCTGTCGAATGTTCTCGAAGGAGAAGCGCGCGCGGCACAGATGGTGGGCGACAGCGCATGCGCGCGCGTCAGCTGTCGAATGTTCGAGAAGCGGTGCGGACGGCGCGGACGGCGCACTACAAGGCGAGTGTATAAGATGCTTCCGCATCTAAAAGGGTGTGTGTGGAGTGCACCATAACTGTCTCTCATGTGAGGACACCTCAACCGATACATTCACGGGGGGGGGGGGGGGGGGGGGGGGTGTGCAAACGGCGAATAAAGGGACAGTAAGATTGAAGAAAAAAAAATGTGAGCTAAAGAAGAAGGAAGTTCGCAGGAAGCGACCGACGTTGTTTGGCGGGGGGGGGGGGGGGGCAGTTCGGTGACCTTCGCTCGCTGTGTGCTTATCAGCTACGATGTCTCTACACTGGCACCACTCGTGGAGAACCCCCGCTGTGGCGCACAGATAAGACGGGTGACGTGCCGCGCGCAGCTAGAAAGAAAAGCAATAGGCATGTGGCAACGGGCGAAGAAGGGGAGGGAGCGAGCCGAGGTGGTTAAGGGGGATCGGCAAAGTCATAGAAATCATAGAGATCCAAGGGTGAGGAGGCGCCTGGTGTCGGTTAGCGGGACTGCAGTGTATGAATGCAGGGGTTGCGTTTATTACGCTGGAGAAAACATCCAAATTTTGATCAATGAAGTTGGAAGTGCGTTTATTATGCGAGTGCGTTCCTTACGCGAGGAAATACGGCATGTTATGAATATGACGTCCAGTTGCCAAATGTTGGTACTAATTTGCAATCGTATTCCTGTGGATGTGTATGTATTCCAAGATGCCCAGGCTTTTGAAGTGAAATTTCTCTCGTTCAACAAAACACGTCTGCTACGTTACTGCTTTTTTAGGAAATTGTGTAGGAATATACTGTACATGCATTATACAGCACGCTTCCAAGAAGAACACCCCGTGTGAACAGCAAAGTCTGATTGTATGCCCCCCGTACAATCTAACATAGCTGTTTATGCAGTGTATACTTCTTTTCTTTTTTTTGCAATTTAAGGAGCAACTACAATAGACAAGTGTTCCAAGCAAACAGCTTTATTTAAGTAACAGTATACATATGGAATGTGTCTGCAACCTCACTGACAGAACTTGGTTGGGTCTATAAATGCCAGTGGTGCACCCTCACACAAAAGCTTTGTTCGATACTTATATGAATGCAGGCTAAAAAAAGGGCTACAGAGATTCATCTGCAGAGGATTCTTCCTCGGATGATGACTCGACCATTTGCGTCGAGTCTGAGCCAAAAGACGTCATCTCAGTGGGGGTCTGCAACAGGCGCTCCATACCCGGAAGTGTAGTCTAAACAGGCAAAGGGAAAGGCAAAGGGATGTTGATTAGAGCAGCATTTGTGCAAGCAGTCACTACACCTCTGCAAAGTGTCAAAGAAGATGCAATGTCAATTGTTTCCGTTTACACTTATCAGGAAAAATTAACAGCACAGAAAATCTGCCACAGAAAAAAAAAATTCAGTACACGTTTTGCCCGTAGAGTTTACTCTCGACCCTGGTATGCAACATCCGTGTTGCTATGCGTTAAAAGGCATATCCCGCGGATTTTAGAGCATGTTTGTCCGCGCAACTGTGCACTTGCCGACTACATGCAAACAGTGTTGCTTTGCCCAAGCTTGCAGGTTCTCGATGGAATTTAGAAGGTTTTCAGCACAAAAAAATACAGTGACGTGATAGTCTAGATGCTGTGTGAACTTTTAGTCAGATCCGTGGAGCAAGAAACTGGCATCAAATTAATTACACAAAGTTGCACCCCCTGGTACTTTGTGTTCCCACGGTTGGCAAACTGAAGAAAGCGGGGAGAGCACAAAAGAACACTGGGACAGAATAAATGTGTGGCCTCCCCTGCACTGCCATTCTTATGAGATAAGAAGTCGCAGTGGATGCCGTGCCGAGATACCCAGCGCAGAGAACCTGTCAGTGACGGCACGTGAAAACTATGTATTGTAGCCGGATTTCACTTTTGGAAGAATGCAAGCGATAACCTGTGAAGCCAAGTTTTTTTAAAGTTTTCTATACTTGAATCATAAAAGCTGGCATAAAGAGATTTTAAATTTTAAAAATCATGAATTGATGCAAGGATAATATGGTCATTTAACCTTTAAGTGGGGCTTCACGGCAATGATTTCCCTGGATAGGTTGTATTCATGGCACAGCATGCCTCTACTGCAGTGAAACCACCTACAGGGGGTTACATGCTGACTAATGTGCACCTATTTGTTCATTTCGAACACTTCAAAATTTCCAATATAATGGGACCACATTCGAATACTTGAAATGCTCGAATATTTGCGAAAACCTACGCATATGCACAACAGCTGAACCTTTTATAAAAAACACTGATGCAGCACAATTTGGTGTAAGAGACACCAGTGTGTGTACTTGAAAATAGGGGTTCATCAGAAAACGAGAACCTGGTGCTTTACTTGCAGAAAACGAACTGCTCCCCAGTGGAAAAGGCCGAGCTGCATATAAAACAGAGCGACACTGGCTCACTAGCTTGCACCAGCTGCAATACAACATGTTCAGCCAACTAACAGAAACAAGTTTAGCGTCGCCATCACAGTCATTTCACTAGCCACTGCACCACGCCTGTGGCGCAGCTCGTGCTAGGACTAGAGCCAGAAAGATCGAGCCCACAATCTTGACGGACTAGACGCCTGCAGCCGCACCGCTTCGGCAGTGGCGAGATCAACATGGCTACATCGGCGGCCTTCGTGTCGATCACGTTCCTCGTTACACAACCTTAAATCAAGAAGCCTCACCAGCCACTCCAGTGCCTGGTGTGTAAACAGGCGGACAGAATACTCAAGCCGGATGGACTGCAGGTGAAGGTTGTTGAGTGTGACTGTAGTGAGCTCGCTGATGTTGGCAACGCCCGTCAATGTCTGCAGCATGTCGGATATAGAGTTGAGCAGCCGACTGTAGGACTCCTGCAACTGGGAGGACATGCCTCGAACCAGGACTGCAGGCTGCTCCAGTGCACAACCAGCCGTACTCAGTGCAGTTCGAGCAAAACTGAGCACAGTGGCCTGTAAATTCTGCATTCAGACAAAGCATATTTAGATGCAGTAAACAGATCTTTCAGTGCTGCCTATGCAAGATAATTGCATTGAAAGGGCAACCTCAGGTAACATTGTCAAGCCAGAGAAATGGCAAGCTGTTCAAATTGTTACCTTCCTAACAGTTCTGAGAAAGCAATTTTGAACCATGTGGACAATACCACAGGCACTGCAATTTGCCATCGCACTTCTAATTGGTATATTTCACATAGGCTACTACTCCAAATGTAAAAAAAGAGTTTGTTGCATTGCATTTCAACATTACCATGCTCTGGACAGATATGGGTAGCACTGTGCACTGTCAGCTTAGCCTGTGTGTAGCCCTGTATTGCAATGTGAAGCACGCATGGCTCATAAAACATGCTAAAGATAAATATTACCGTTTGCATATTGCTAGCCTTCTGAACCATGCCTGCGTGTGCCGGACGAAGAGAAAGATGATCTCTCTCTGCTCGGGCTCCAAGTTTAACTGTTCAGCGTTGCTTCGGTTAATGTAGCTATATAGCTTAAATAGTCTAAAAACTACAGTCTACCGACTCGTCCATTGCTTAACTGACTTGATGGAGGTGAATATTCCCCATCCTCACCACAAAGCTTTACCGCGACATCCAGTAACCGACCATGGCTACCACTGACAACAGCTCCTTTGTCTACAGCTGTGGTGCCAACCACAATGTACCTAAGGGTGTTCCACACCTGCAATCCCGGTACATTTTCCACCCAAGCTGGCCTCGACATCAACTACTGGGTCAGCATGTAAAAGGGTATTAGCCAAACTTGCCAGTGGGACCCTACCATGATCATCATCTACTTGGGAGGCACGCCGAGTGTCTGGTTTGACATTCACAAGACTGAGCCGACATTTTCAAGGTGCGACTACGCGACATCTTTGGGCACCTGTCCAGTTGTCAAATGGCAGCACGAAATGTACCGAGGGCTAGTTTGTGAGCCACAGTATTTGACGAAGCAGTGCACAAAGGACACAATCGCACACTTATTAAAATATGCAAACAAGCACTGGACTTCAATGAAGTTGCAGTCCAGCGCTTGTACCAGAGTCATTTTTATGCGCGAGTGATTGTGTCCTTTATGCGTCGCTCCATCAAATATCGCACTAAACCAGTTTCGTTCCATTTGTGCCACACCCACCTTGAGCTGAGCTTCATCAGTGGGATCGCTCAGTAGTCCCTGGAGCCAGGAAGACTGGAGGCTCATGCGAGCCAGGGCCTCCTGGAAGGACTGGTTGGTGCCAGCAGTCAGATTCTGCTTCATGCTCTGGATCACCTGCAGAGCCATCTGAAAACGGGCAATGGAGTCGCCCGCATAGCGCTGCAACACCCTCAGCTGCAGGGCGGCGTGTCGCGAGGCGCACGTCGATGCCTTGCGGGAGATACTGTCAAGCCTAGCGAGCAAAGCCACCTCTTCCGGAGGCACAGCCTCGTTGCCATCCTTCTTCATGTCGATTCCAAGGGACGCTATGTGCTGGAAAAAAGATAGGGCAGTTGTTATTGCAGACCTTGACTTGTGTCACAGAGGGCCAAGATCGCCCCATGAACAAGGCCCAATGAATTTAATGAGACTACTCTTTCAGATGTAGGGAGGAAAGTAAATTTAAATGCTCATTTTTTTGTTAGACACAATATTAAAGAGAACAAACAGAAAACAATGCGAAGGAAAGTATATAGGTGATATTAGAAGTAACTGTAATGTCAATGTGAAGAAAGATAGGTAGACAAAAAGATAACTAAATACAGCAGCAGTATTCAGCAGCGGTTCGAATGATACCTATAGTATTTGAGTTGTTCGGGATGCATCGGAAATATAGCTCAAATATTGTACAGAAGAGCAATTTACAATGCACATTTTGACGAGCAGTTTAAACCATAAGAGGCACACAAATATGGGTGAAGGCAAGAATGACAAAGGGGGATCAGCTTCGCTGTTTCGACAGTGTTTGCAAAAAGGAGCTGGCTGTTTCGACAGTGTTTGCAAAAAGGAGCTGGCCACATGTTTTCATAGGATGCTCGAGCAAAGAATATTCGAAGTATCAACCATCTCGCAGATTCCTGTCCATTGTGAACATTACACTTCTTATAGAGTTGGCAACGTAGCAAAAACAAACAATAATGAGATGCCAATTTTTTGAAGGATATGCGTGGATAGACCTCAAGTCAGGAAAGGCGTCACCAAGATGACCAAAGCGTGGCGGCTAATCACCTACGCGAGTGAAGAAACAATCCTGCTTGTGCACTCCGCTATGTTCTACAAAGTTGGAGTCGCGGGCTGGCAACCTCGTGATGTCTGTCTATAGAGTACGCCCAAAATTGGTGCAATCTTGCGTGCAACCGCTTTTTGAAGTTGAAGTATTTCACTTCAAAGTATGAAGTATTCAAATTGTTGAAGTATTTTCACTTTTCAGAGAAAATACTTCAACATTTGAAAATTAGCATCTAAGTGATTAAAAAACTTGTCTCAAGCTATTCAACAAGGGGCAGCTAGGGCTGAAATTCTTCAAAAGCCAGTTAAACAATAACTTCATCCAGAGCACAGATTAATACAAACATCATTGAGCAAAATAAAAGCTGCTTGCAGCCATCTTGCTTAAATCATATCTTCTACATTTCCATATTCATTAACTCATTAACAATAGCCATTTTAAATAACAAAGTTGAACTGCAAAAAGTAACACCATAGGATACATAACTTACATCATAATGTGGTCCTCTAGGTAACAAAAGTTAACAAAATTTAATTATGTAAGAGATTTGTAGAGGCGCATAAGTGAATGCTACTAAGTACGCAATATGCTAGTGTGCCCATTAATGGGAAAAATTATGATATAATGAGCACCTAGCTATTAAAGAAATATCTACAACTGCTGATGATCCAGCAAGGAGGGAAGCAACAGATTTAACATAGGCATCCTCGCAGGAGGCTCATAACGATTGAGTGGTTTTTAATTGCTAAATATTTACATCTGACGACAGTTTTTTTACCCTATAAAGCAAATGAGCAACTCTGGCAGAATACAAGAAATACGTTTCCCTTTCTTTTATTTTAAATATTCCTTAGGTAGGCCAGTAAGCAAAACCAGTGGCTTTGCTATAGAAATAAAAATGGCTGGCATACCTGGTCCAATGTAGCTTCAGTAGCAGCAAGAGCTTGCTTGGCGTAAACCAAGATTTGACTCTGGCACTGCGAGATAGTCTCCGCAGGATGCACCACCCTATGAACCGTTCCAGCAGACACACTCCTGATGTCGTTGATCTGAAAATCGCAGAGTCCTTCAATTCAACAGTGCGTCAAGTGGAGATAAGCTAGTCATTTCATCATCCTGCTGCAGCCCTGCACTGTCGTATTAGAAAGCGGATGTGCTGAGCAGATATAAATGGCACTTCCTCAACAATGGCGCGATATAACGTCTCCAATTTAGCTTCACCATACACAAGCTGCGCACTGCTCGCCAAAAAAAATTACACAATAATACACATTGTTCAAACGCCAGTTCCATTTCACTTTACCACCATGCCTTGCTACAATATATGGAAACATATGCTGAAAAGCTCCCACTGCCCATAGCGTGAGGCTAAATAATATGCAATATCGTGGCTTATGAAACCTTGGATGGCTATTTCGGCAATTTCACATGTGCACTCAAAGAAAGCTATAGTCTATAGCCCGCTTACTTCGAAATTCAAAATTTTGGCGAAGCTCGAGTCACAGTGGAGAGAGCTTGCACTACATTACAGCAAAATTGCATGAAGTTTTGGGGTGCTAATCCCAATCTCAGAAAGCTATAGCTTAATTATAAGGAAATATTGCGACATCAATACACGGTGTAAAGTGGTTGTTAACGTAAACGCCGTCTTAAGGTAAGACCATTCGTTCCCTAGAGCTGACACGCAGACACTGCTTTACAGGTGTCCGTGAATAACAAGGAAACAACCAAAGCGTTAAATGATCCGCCGATTGCGCACATCGAGCGCGTGACGCAGAAACCCGATAGGCACGAATACCGGTGCACGGGCAGGCAAGGTGACCCCCCCCTCTTGACGACAAGACAGCTACCTTGGTGATGCCGTAATCCTTCACGTCGCCGTACTTCTTGCGCCCGTACTCGACGGCGTCTGTCATTATCTGGTCGTGCGGCTTCTTCTTGACATCGGGGTAGACTTCCTCGAGCTTGTCGAGTCCCTTGCACGCCAAGCCGTCGACAATGCTGATCGGCGTGGCCAACTTGTCCACGACTGGCTTGCTAGAGGCGAATGCCATTGCCGCCGATCTCTCGGCGGTGCCAATCGCAAACGCCAGCAGGCCCGGGTTCGCCTTGGCGCGGGCGTACGACTGCGCAGCCGTTTCCCACAGGCTCGTGACGGCAGGCAGTTCGCTCAGCCGATTTACAAAGTTGGACTGCACGCCTTGAAGGGGCGGTGCCTTGGCAATGGGCTCCGGCATGTTTTGTTTTCCTGGTGCGCGAACGACGAGGAAAGCTGCAACACAAACAATGCCGTTACGTGAAGTCAGCTGAAACGATCAGATCGCGCCACTTGTCAAAATAAGAAATGCTACTCGTCATCACGCTTGTCTGTGCAAGTTGAGAACAGTGAGGCAAACAGGAGAAATATCAAACAAGTTGCTTACAACTGAGAGGTTCGACAACGCTGCATACGACAAATGATGAAATCTGCGGGAAATACAGCTGAAACGGTCAGATCGCGCCGCTTGTCAAGACAAGCAATGCGCAGACAAACGTGATGAGTAGCAAGTTGAGAACAGTAGTGAGGCAAACGGGAGAAATACCAAACAAGTTGCTTACAACAGAGAGGTTCACCAACGCTGCGTACGACAAAATGATGATGAAATCTGCGGAAAATACAGCTGTGCTGACGCTTATATAGCACACGTTTCAACGGAACTGTCGTAGATACGCGCGAACTTCCGGAATAAAAACCGAAACCAACTTGTTGCTAGCGCGCTCTCGCCTAACAACCATGTACCGCAAGACAGCATAACCGTTGCGACTTATGTGCGAGGCAGAAAAAAAAAGAAAAGATTTTGCCTTGTTTTCAATTTTGACGCTTCGAAACACCTATGCGTAGGCGCTTTATTTTTCATAACTTATGAGGCACTGTTTATTGTTTGTTTTTGTACGACTTGAAATATTCGTCTGCACCGAATTCGCGTACCAGATGCCAGACGGATCTCGGCGTGTCGTCAGAGTTGGCTGTGCGCTCTTACAAAGCAATATTTGAAGTTCCTGCTAGTTACTCAGCTTGTTTAGCGTGATAATCGAACGAGGAGCATATGGAGGAAGATATAAACATGCAAGACTACGTTCTCTCTTCCACGCATGTCAGGTAATTAACCGAGAACGCCTCATATTCCATAACATGCTGAATGCGCCGGTTCTCGTCCAGTAGAAACACAAAAGCTACAAAATATTAGTATCCTGACGAGCATCCTGACAGTACTTCTTTCTTTTTTTTTCATTGTCAAAGGGCTTCGGACGTTATTCGGAGGGGTCAGTACGACGCTTCTGTGGAGTCCGAATCAATGGATAGTGCAGACCCCGATGAAGTTCAGTCGGTTCCAGCGTCAAACAGCGCCAGGTAATGCACTGATCAAGTCGCATGACTCTCACGTCATCTAAAACGTACCGCTCTTGCTAATTCATAAAACGTAGCCCGAAAATAAGCACAATTGTCAAGCAGCTTAATTTTACGTTGTTTGACCTTAACTTGGCGCTCCCGGCTGTGGCGGCTGCATTTCCGATGGAGGCGGAAATGTTGTAGGCCCGTGTGCTCAGATTTGGGTGCACGTTAAAGAACCCCAGGTGGTCTAAATTTCCGGAGCCTTCCACTACGGCGTCTCTCATAATCGTATAGTGGTTTTGGGACGTTAAACCTCACATATCAATCAATCAATCAATCAATCAATGGCTCAACGCACATATGCATTGACAACAACCAAAACTGAGGTATGCGCGAAGCTGAGTACCCATTTCGACAAATCTGATATGTCAGAGATTGCAGCAGACGATTGTCATGATTACTTTATCCGAATGTTAGCTTACGGCCGGATGAACAAATATATAATAAACGGCTGTTATTGCATTCGCTCCCTTTGAAACGCAGTTGTCCATGCTTCCGGAAATTAAACGATAGCAGCGCGTTGCTAGCTCGGTGTTTCTTTTCTCTTCGACTGATACGTTATTTATTTTTTCAGAATACGCAGTCAGATGTCGAATGAAATCGACGAATCACTTCGCAACGTCATGCGTAAGGTAGCGAAATGTCTATCGCCATCTAATCCACCTGTTTGTGTTATAACACGTTGCCGTGCTGATTCATGTTTATGTGACTCAGGTGGACGACGACATCCGACAGTGCGTGAGTCGAGGGCAGCCGCTGATAAGCATCTTTGGTTCGCCGCCCGGACGCGCCAGGAGGCACAGGTTAGTTGACAAACGTCCTTCAACAGCGCCGATTCTTATAGTTGTCACTGTTACCTATATGCAGCAGGCATGCATGCATACTACATGCCCGTAGAACAGATGCATCTGCATGTTACAGTTGCTCTTCCGAGGGCCTCTGATAGCGTGTGCGTCACCTACAAGTGACAAAGCATCCTTTTTTACTCTATTTGTGATTTACGACTCCTGGTGGTAATTGCCATGAGTTATGACACAACAGCAGGATGGCTGAAACATTTTTGTCCCCATCAAACAGTAGTGTAGCCAGTTTTTTTTTTTTTTGGCGGGGGGGGGGGGGGGGGGCATTTTATCGCTGGGTAGGCCAGTGACATCAGCAGTGATGTGGATCGTTGGAAAATCTATCGTGATAATTGCCATGAGTTATCACACAACAGGATGGCTGAAACATTTTGGTCACCATCAAAAAGTAGTGTAGCCAGATTTGGGGGGGGGGGGGGGGGGGCATTTCATCGCTGGGTAGGCCAGTGACATCAGCAGTGATGTGGATCGTTGGACAATCTATCTATCGGACGGAGCGAACGGAAAGAGCACAAACTATCAGTTGGTTTTATTCATTTATCGTCAACAAAAAGCTGCGCATAAAATTACCTTCTGCGGTATACAGAGCAACGGACGTGTCACTTTACGCAGTTGTTGCCCAATTAATATAAAAAGCTTCTAACATCTCGCGCCCTACTCTCCCTCTCTCTGAGTTTGCCTATAATTTTTACCCTTTCGAATGTGGGCTCGCACCCCATGCATGAGCTACAATGTGCGGGTGAGTTCGCCCCTTCCCTCTTTGTAATAACGGACGCGGCATGCTCCTTCACTCTTTCATTGACGCAGCGCCCTGTTTGTCCAACACGCTCTGTCTTCTTGTGTCGGTCTGCTCAGCCGTTTCTTCTTCCCCATAATGCGCTATACCAGTTCAAGTACCGCCTAGACTATTCATGTCAGTAGTCTAGGTGGTGTTGGTTTGTCCCACGTACGAACGACCACACGTGGGCGGGATTTCGTACACAACTCCTGTGGTACATTTCAAGAAACTTCGGGGGGATTTTTCCCGCAGCCGCTTCACCATTGTCCGTACCTACAAGACCCTTGGGCGTAAGCCGGCAAAGATACTTTTAACGTCGAGAAAACCACTTGGACGCCATGCTTGTCTGCCACTTTCTTCAAGTTATGCTCGTCGCGTGACATTCTTCCTTCGCGGTCGCGCGTTGCTACCAAGATGTTTTTTTCTTTTCTAACTTTTTTTTAGAAGTTTTCCAATCACAAAGCGTGATGATTGCGGACAGGTAGCCTGCTGAAAGCAGCCTATTGATTTGGTTCTGGAAGTATCATGCATCGCGTTCGAACATGACTTGTAGGAGCCGATTCCAGGGGCGAGCTTGCAATTGCCCTTTTAACTATCCTTGAATGCGCACTCAAAAGGCAGGAGCTATTTTTTGCACTTCTAGAGCACATTGCCGGCTTATGTGATGCAAACTAAAATTCGAGTTAATATCTATAAACTGCAGTGAGCCTTTGGTCGGGGTTTCATGCGTAAAAACTATACCTGCGCCGCATTTTCTAAATCTGATCAAAATTCTACTCACCGAATCACTGTGGGTCATAGTTATAGTTGTTTGGAAGTAACAATCGAAATGTCGTCTATATATCGGAAGTCCTTTACAACAGTTCAGCAAGCTCGCGACTCGGGGAGTGGTTCACGGCGGCTAAAAATGTATTATAGGACCGGGCAACACATGATCCAACCCATACGCCCTGCCGCTGAATGCAGAAGAGGATCGAGATAAATGTGGCTTGTAAATAAAACTATAAAAGAAACACGAAACTCTTGAATGTCACTCCAGTGGAACTTTGAAACCTTATCTAGCCGTTTTACTGAATACACTCCCTGAGTGACCGCTACGAACAATGCACCATGAGGCACTGAATGAAACAAGGCCTCTATATCCACAGAAAAGGCATAGCCTATAGTTGATTTCCTACTCCTCGGCTAGCTTCTACACTGGCTAAGGAGGGAAATGTGCTCGAGGTTCGCTATGGGTGTCGAGTGCTCGGTGGCAGCGCGGAGGAAGAGCCGTAGTCCGGTGAAGAGACGCTTCATTGCAGCACTCAGGCGCCCGCCCGGGTCCAAGTCCGAACCTCCGCTCTCTCATTTCACATTCAAACACCCTTTTTTGAACCCCCGGGCAAACAGAAGGTGTACAAACAAACAAATCCCACTCAAACAAACAAATCCCACTTTGGGGGCTGATATAACCACCACCAATCGAATGAATACATTCATGATGGACACGGCATCGGAAACAAGCACGTCATAATATACAACACGCGACGGTATAGGTTTTCAGCGTGTAACAATCTCTCCCATGTCAGCTCGTGTATCATCTGACGGTAGCTGTTCTCAGGCATTGCGCTGTGCTCCGGGCTTCAGGTGCCTTTTTCCTCTTCTAACCACTACCAGGCTCGAGCTCCGTCAGCTCTTACTAAACGTCTCTTCGTAGAAGCCGCCGTAAACGCAGTGAGGCGCCCCGCCATCCCCTCCCCCCCCCCCCCCCCTCAAAAAAAAAAAAAAAACGTATCGTGGGGCGGACAAGCTCACCCGCATGCCGCAACTGTGTCTGGTTTGGCCAGTGGTCGCGTCCGTGTGACATTCCCAAACGGCACACGTGCATGCCAAACAATGAACTTACCGCGCTTGGCCTGGTTCTTGCAAGATGCGCTTCCGAGTAAGCTTTATTTACCCTTTTCTGGTTCCAAACTATAGGGGCGACTTTGACTGCTCTGCTCGTGACCCGGGTGAACGACGGAGTCTCCTTTGTTCCCATGCTATGGTTTTCCGCGTTTCCCTTTGTGGAACCGATCGGCGTACCTCGCTCCGCAGCAGCCGCACAACCTGCTCCACATAACAACACGCACGCCACTCTGCATACCTCTTACTAACTGCCTACATGAGCACTGGAACGTCCCCAGAGTTATATTGTGGCAGAAGTGTCTTCAACATGTAGCGCACTCAAAGGTTTTTTGCAGATATCGGCTGATAAAGGACTGCCAGCATTTCTTAAACGTTCCTATCGCGACCGACTGCGCGTACACTTTTGATGACCACTAAACTTCACACCCCTCAGGGTGAAATTCGCTTACATATCACTCATAGAAAAAATGGAGTAACGACAGCTTGCACCCTTGAGATAGTGTTTCTGGTATTCTCCTTCAGCACGTGCACATGTCGAATCATGGCGTATGGGCTATACATGACGTGTTGGCTGTTTTCAATGACGACTCGGGTTTCCTTGGCCGAAGAGGCTTACACCAGGCACTGTTTGGTCGACGTCAGAGAAACGCAGTATATGCCTCAGAATAACTGCACTACTTCTTTCGTTGCCTAGGCCGCGCTGATGCTCTAGTGCAACCACACGTATCGCGCTCGCAGGTTGCCCTTCGAGCACACGACGGCGTCGTCCAACGTGGGCCGCGTCCAGCAGCGGCAGCTTCCTCGCGGCTGCTCTTCGCGGGGCCCGCCATCGCCGGGCAGCCTGCGCTGGCTGGACACGCCGCACGCAGTCAGTGTCTCCAGGGGCATGAGCGGCACCCAGCAGCTGATGCTCTTCGACCACGACGCCCGCGTGCGCCAGGCATACCGACGGGCCCAATGGATGAACCAGGCGCAGCGATTCCGCATCGCGCTGGTACCGCAACTGTTGGCTCTTTTCATTTACGAACAACTGTTTTGTGTGTCTTTTAGTGCTATGAGCATACTCTACACTCGATACCTTTCAGATGGACGATACATATCGTTGATGATTGATTGACTGATATGTGGGGTTTAACGTCCCAAAACCACCATATGATTATGAGAGACGCCGTAGTGGAGTGCTCCGGAAATTTCGACCACCTGGGGTTCTTTAACGTGCACCCAAATCTGAGCTCACGGGCCTACAACATTTCCGCCTCCATCGGAAATGCAGCCGCCGCAGCCGGGATTTGAACCCGCGACCTGCGGGTCAGCAGCCGAGTACCATAGCCACTAGACCACCGCGGCGGGGCGATACATATCGTATCGCCCCTCCTTGCACTCTCCTCCCTCTTGCGCTGTCTTTCATATCCTCCCGCTACTCTCCTGTTCCAAGTAATAAACTTGTCGCAAATCGGCTGAAACACCCTGTGTGTCAAACGGCACCCCGGTGAATGTTGTAACGTGGTCGTGACGTGGACGAATGGAGCACACTGCTAGTCGAATAATAAATTGTTTATTTGGGCGAACCTGTGCCCAGTAAACGGAAAGTCGGACTACACAGTAGCAGTCTTGGACTGATACAAAGAGAAGTTTATTAACTTCATACTAAAAAAAAAAACTCTTTACATCATTTTATACATCCAGTGCTCGTTTAGACACCCCTCTTGTGAACTATGGGACATACAAGCTCCATTATCCATAGAGGAAACTAGCGGCAAATACACAGTTATCTATATATATAGATATATACAAGTTTGTTCTAAACTACGCATACATTCGTAAAAAAAAAACCACAAATATGATAGCGGTGAACGGAGCGTCGGCCGTCGATCAACAACTGACAAGCGGCGAAGTGCGCCGGCAATTATACTCTTGCCATCGATTGTTTTAGCGTTATCGCTGGCAATGACGTAGGTTCTAGAATAATCTGTACAGCTCGCGGAGTGGGCGTGATCTTATCGAAATGATCTACTACAGTCCGGAAGCTTCTCGAAAACTGCAGGCGCGGTTTGTGCTGAGAATTGTCTAATGTGTTGGGGCGATAACAAAACTTGAGAAATGGAACGTGGAAATACAGCTGGGATTCCAGTATAGTAGCAATACAAAACCATGTAGTTGAAACCGCATCTATGGTTCTCGAGGCCAAATGAGCTCATTCATTTCTTTCCCCTCGTTCGCTTGCCCGAATGAAGGGGAAAAACCAAGATTATAACTCAACCGTAAAACGTAGCCGTGATTTATTATTTTTATTTATATAAAGAAGAGCATCCGCTCATCGGATGGCTGTTGTGGGAAGTAACTATTTCTACAACGCATCCGTGCAATTTATCCTTCAAGTTTTACATTTGTTTTGCATTATACATATTTGACGTACATTTTATTCCGCTAAATATTACTAGAATATCGATACAAATTCTTTCTTTCAGCACTTTTCTTGCTTCGATTATGACCGCATTGTATATCACTGTAGCGACCTGAAAGTTCACCTGTTGACTCGCGGTTGTACAGGCCTTCACCAAATGTTCTTTCAGGACATGAGCGATCCCAAGGTGCAACAGACTATGCAGCTGGCAGAGCAACCATTCGACTTCCAGGTGGGCGGCAGAACACCGCCGGTTCACATCACCGGCATCGACCCCGACGAGGAAGACGACGAGCTGCAGGAAATTTCCTCATAAGTTGTTATGAGCGACGAGTGGTCGCTTATTGCCTCCTATAAGCTAATATATATGCGCTGCTAGACGCACACGCCGAAGATTGGCTCAGCGTTTTCTATGACAGTCATACAGATACAGTTTGCTGTTCTCGTGTTGTTATCCTCCTCCTGTACAAGTTAGTTTTTTTTCTTCTTTTTAGTTGTTGTTCTCAAAGTCAATAAAATATCTGTGGACAACCAAACGCACTCGGATTTCTGTGCAGTCTTTCTGCATTTGCATTCACATACAACTGAAAAGAGTAGTGGCACACACACACACACACACACACACACACACACACACACACACACACACACACACACACACACACACACACACACACACACATATATATATATATATATATATATATATATATATATATATATATATATATAGAGAGAGAGAGAGAGAGAGAGAGAGATGAAATAGATGATCAGAGTTTCTTCCAGCTACCGTAATAAAAGTTATAAACTTCGAGAATAGTGCAGTATAGGTAGGAAACAAAATATTTAATTGTTTTGTTTCTTATACTGCACTATTCTCGTAATATATATATATATATATATATATATATGGGGGGGGGGCGAGTTAAACCATACTGCAATGCATGCGTGCGTTTGTATGTATGTGGCTACATATACACATGCAAAGTAGAAAATGTTCGGAGAGGCAGGAGAAGGGGAAAGTGTTGAACATAAAGCCCCTATACCTTCACATAAGCCCCTATACAACTAAAGCCCCTAAGTATAGGGGCTTTAATTGAACCTTCCTAGCTACGGCATAAAAATTCAATTCCCCACCCTCCCGCCCCAGTAGACACATTTCATTGTAATTGTCTGTATACTGTCACAATCATTTTATTTTTATAGCACATATTTATATTCGTATATATTGTCACATAATATTCAACGCTTACGAAGGTGGATGTAGCACCCCAGAAACACGTTCATAATGAATGAACTAAATCGAAAGCTTCACGCTGCCCGACAATTCGTAATCGAAACTAAAGACTCTCTTGCGCTTCAGTAGTGCTATCGCCATCACCAAGCAAATCAGGCAAAACAACGTAGAAACAAGATAGAAGGTCGGCATTCAGTCGGCCGAGTGTCATATGCTCCCATTGAATGCTTAAAAACAATCTGTTCTGATCTCTTGAAGCTTTTTCAAGATGCCGGGGTCCATCGAGATCCCACTGCGCGACACCGACGAGGTGAGTTTGTTTCCATGCGTAGCTTTCTTTGCGGTCCCGGCGGCTGTAGCGAACCTGCCGCTGTGCGTTTCCGCGTCGATCGTGACCGCTTAATTTACGTGTTTCCAGGTGATCGAGCTCGATGTCGACCAACTACCGGAAGGAGAAGAAGTCCTCGGCATCCTTCGACAAGAACAGGCCCAACTGCATCTATGGGTCAACCTTGCGGTAGGGTGCAGCGATCGGAGGTTTCTCTTGTTTTCAAGGGTCGTGCTAGCGTGCCACGCGATGCGTGCTTAGCGAGCGTTTTGATCGTCGCTTCGCGTTGTGTGCAGTGTCGAAAAGAAAGAAAGAAAGGAAATCGCATCGCCATAGCGCTCCTTTTCAGCATCGTCAATCAGTCTTTACTAAGACGATAGCCCCTCAGGGTAAACGCGCACGCACGCACGCACGCACGCACGCACGCACGCACCACACACACACACACACACACACACACACACACACACACACACACACACACACACACACACACACACCACTAATTATAAAGAGAAAACTAGTGTACCGGAAGTGTTGAAAGTAAAACAGCGTTACCAACACACTGTCTCGATCGATGCACCGGAGTCAATGAGGGTGGCGATTTGGGCTTGTTGGTATGGTTGCATGATGATGGATGGTAGCGCAGACAACGAACACGGACAAGAGAAGGCACATAGAAACAACACAGCGCTGTGTTGTTTCTATGTGCCTTCTCTTGTCCGTGTTCGTTGTCTGCGCTACCATCCATCATCGATGCACCGGACTTTTCGCGCAATGAGGAGCATTCGGTTATTCGGTTTACTGACCTCATGCGTGCAACAAACAGACTTGTCAGTAGCTGCACGACTGGTTAGCATGCGTAGAACATATCGCCACTTTACCGTCATTCCACACAGTGTCACTTGAAGAAAAGACCACGGGCTGTTCTGCTCATGCAACACTGTATACTTCAATTTGACATCACCCATCTGTCGTGCTGCTTTCGTTTGTACGTTAACAGACCGTTTCATCAAGATCGTTGGTAGTGATCTTTCATTGTACATAGTGCAACACTTTATGACGGGCAGACACAGAAAGAACTGGGGCTTGTGCTTTGTCCTTCAACATGTCTAGTGCTACCTGCAATGATAGAGTGAGCATGTTGCACCCAGCCAGGATGTATTTGCACTCTGTAGCCTGGTGTAAGGATCTCGTTGTGGTTTGCATAACTGTCTTGCATTTTCCCCCTCAGCTGGAGTACTACCGGCAGGGCAAAGTGGACGACTTTGTCCGGCTGTTGGAGGCTGGCCGCACCGAGGCCCGGCTCGATTACCGAGACTTTGAGCAGGACCAGATGACGTGCCTCGACACATTGGCTGCTTATTACGTTCAAAAGGCCAGTAAGGAGAAAAACAAGGACCGCAAGCATGAACTGTTCACCAAGGCCACCCTGCTCTACACCACTGCTGACAAGATCATTATGTACACGCAGGTATGCAGAGCTAAGACATTTTGCTGTTGACTCCTGTTGTCATTCACTCATTAGTGCATTTTATGCTAAACACATAGCTATTCTAACTACATAAGTTAACAGTGTAGCTGCTACTGCAATGCCAAGTTCTTACAGGAATTAAATATTCCCATCCAACACTTTCCAAATAATGAAGCTGTTTGAACGAGGCTTCAAGCTGTGTAATAAGTTAGCAGCATTTATACGACATTGAACGTTGGCCAACTTTGCGATAAAATTACCTGGGAGGTGTGGAACAATGCACCAGCTTTTGTATTCCTTTAGTTTTACTGACATTAAGTGTTTTGTATTTAGACACCATCGACCTCTCTGTAATAATGCAACTTTCTCTTTGGTTGCTGAGCCATCTGACATCTAAGTGAGTGCTGTGCACAAGTTATGTCTTTTTCCAAGTATTGCCATGTATTTTCTTTTATTATGAAGTACCTTTTGGCATTTATAGACTGCCATGTCATTTTGGATCACATTTGATGCATTTTTGGGCATTATGTCTTGAAAGTGTTAAAAAGGTATTCTTATTACCTAAGAAAACTTTGTTTTTTTACACTACTTAAGCCTGCATACAAATACAATAGCTATTGGAAATTAACCCGGTGGCAAAATACCTGAAATCACTTTAGTATTCGCGATAGATTGAGATGTTGCTTTTTTTCTCCTCTAAAACAGTATTATGAGGTAATTCTTGTTTGGTAGGCTAAATGAACACTGTGCAAGCTACCGGATCTTCTGGTGTGTAGGTCGCACGTTTCTATAAAGTGCACACCCTACATTTTGCGACTTTTGTAGGAAAAAAGATATATAAGACTTGCCTGTTTCTGACAGTGTCAACATCATAAAACAAAATGGTGCATGCAGAGTAGATTCATTGCGAATTGTAGCAATGTATGGCATTGAATATCTTTAAGCAGCAGTATAAAACTTCAAATAATGATGTCCTGAGGTGTATAAAACTAATATTTATTCCACAGAATTACAGCTGTAAAAACTTCTTCCATCCTGGTTATTTGCATAATGGGATTGCTATTGTCGGCCTCTGAGTAGCTCTTTTATGTCGTATTGAAAGCAATTTGGAGCATATTGGTGGCGTTGCCTCTTCAGAATTATGAGGCTTGTTGGGAATACACAAACAACAATCACGCTGCCCGTTTGACAAACACACACATTAAAAACGTAAATGGTGACCAGAAGCCGAAAGGTGTGACTACTGCTAGACTGATGATGATGATAACTGGGTGGTACATACTTTCGTGTCTCTAACTGGTATTGGGGGCACCAAAACGTAACAATGAATCATTGTGGTGCCCTTTTTTACTTATTGCGTCAGTTCCAAAGTGTTAATGATTTGTTTAAGAACAAACTATTCGAACAATATGATAGCTTGTGTGACAATGAGGGCCTTTATGGCGGCTCTAATCTCTGTGGCCGTCGCTGTTCTTGAACAGCTAGTAGCTGACACCCAAAACCACACGTGCTTCATTATTATAACAAGATTATATATCTTTTTATAATACTTGTGAATAAAATATTGTCAAATTGGTGTCACAAAATCGCATCAATCTTTGTGTAAATAAGACGTACCAGCGAAAATATTGGAAAGAAAGTGCATCTTATACACCGGAAAATACGGTATACTGGTACTGTACCAAATTTTTTTTTCTCTTGTGGTTTGGGTGGCATTTAAAAAAGTATAGTAATTTTATATTCTTTGAAATGGGATGTTAATTTGCTGCTTATAGTAAAGAATGCTTATAGTAAAGAAAAAGACTGAGGAAATCTAATAGGGTCCTCCCAGACCCGGACTTCCACCCAAAAATAAATTAATTAAACAGGCTGCTAAAAGAAGAAACAAAGCAAGGCAGCACTACTGCAGTACAACGCTTAGCAACCTTATCCAACATTCAACCCAAAAATTCTGGCCATATATTAGATGTAAAGAAAGCAGTGCAAAAACACTGTCACCCAAGGAAGAAAAGCAACAAGCAGAAACGTTTAACGTTTATTTCTATTTCGTATATGCTCCTGACAATGGCACTGCGCATGCCTACAGGCCAGAAAATATAGAGAGAAACGAGACGCTAAGTGCACCAGTCATAACCGAAGCAGGCGTGCTTTCACTCCTATTGAAGTTAGACGATAAGAAGTCCACCGGCCCAGACGGAATCCCGAACTGCTTCCTGAAACTCTACGCCGAACCCATAAGCAAATACTTATGTCTTCTTTACAACAAGTCAGTTTCAGAACAATGCCTGCCAGCCGAATGGAAAATGGCAAAAATAGTGCCTGTCTACAAATCTGGTACTAATCCCTCTTCTCTGTCTAATTATAGGCCTATTTCTCTCACATGTATTTGCTGCAAAATTTTAGAGCATATTATACTAAAATCTATTACCCAGTTCGTCAAGGAAAACAATGTTCTTCATCCCCATCAACATGGCTTCAGGGCTGGTCTCTCTACCGTTACCCAACTTGTAGAAATCCTGCATGATCTCGCTAAAGGAATAAACGATCAGGCACAAATAGACATAATTCTACTAGACTTTTCAAAGGCATTTGACCGTGTCTGCCATGCCAAGCTTCTTCAAAAACTCAGACATATTCTAGGGAATGGACCAATCTTCCGCTGGTTTAAGTGCTATTTAACTGACCGCAGCGAATTTGTACAGTTAAGCACCAGCACTTCTGAAGTTATGCCGGTGCTTTCTGGAGTACCTCAGGGTTCAGTTTTGGCTCCTATCCTGTTTCTTTTGTTTATAAACGACATAACTTGTAGGGTTCAATCTAAAATTATGTTATTTGCAGATGACAGCGTCCTGTATAAAGAAATACAAAGCCGGCAAGATCAAATAAGTTTGAACAATGATTTCGCTTTGTTAGCACAATGGTGCGAGAGTTGGCAAATGGTCATCAACTTCGATAAAAACAGTAACAAAAAAGAAATCCAAACTCACTTTCCCGTATGGCTATGATAGCATCATCCTTAAAACAGTCACTCAGTACAAGTACTTGGGCGTCGTCATATCGTCAGATCTCGGATGGTCGGCGCATGTAGATCACATGACTGGCAAGGCGATGCGGAAGCTAATGTTTTTAAAGCGGGCCTTGCGATACTCGACAAGAGAAGCCAAGCTCTTGGCCTATGCGACGATTATGCGCCCTATCTTAGAATATGCGAGCGTGGCATGGTTCCCGTCTACCCAAAAACACATAGCCACTATTGAAGCCATCCAGCGCAAAGCCGCGCGCTTTATCTGTAACAGATATAGGCGCACCGACTTGCCTACGCAAATGCTGACAGATATTGGCCTTCACACGCTAGCCAGTCGTGCGATGCTATCCCGACTCAAATTTATGTACCTAATCCTACACAACAAACGTAAAGTAGATTCGAACACCTACATTTCTTTCAACACTTCTAGAGAAACCCATCACAAGCATCACCTTACACTGCAAGAATATTTATGCACCAACAATACTTTTAGTTCGTTTTTCCCGCGGGCAGTGCGAGAGTGGAATGCTTTACCCGAGACGGTGGTTGTGCAGCCCACTGTCAACAAATTTTACGAACTTGCTGGTCAAGCCGTCCTATCAGCTACATGATAGCGACGCTATCAGGATTGTACTGATCATTGTTCTCCCTGCCAGTACATTTTGTGGTTTAAAAAGGTGGAAGTCGGTGCCAACTTTGTATGTTGCGTGCTTACCTTTTTCTTTCTTTTTCGTGTATTTTCTATCAGTGTGTGCACATGTGACTGAGACATGTGCCTCGTTAATAATGTAGGTCCATAATTGTTATTTTATACCATGTTTTTTTGTACCCATACAATTGTATAAGTATGTGAATATAGAATGTTTGTTGACACTTTCCAACCCACTCCTGTAAAGATCCCTGACGGGATTGACAGTATTGTTAAATAAATAAAATAAATAAATATTAAGCACCCCCTGATGAAACGTTCCTACTGCTGCATATTTCGCACCACACCGAGAAGCTCGGTTTTAATATTTTGAGCTAGTGAATATTAAGTTGTGTTTCCATTGTGTCCCTTCCTTTCTAGAACCATCTTCTTGGAAGAGCCTACTTCTGTCTCCTGGAAGGGGACAAAATGGACCAGGCCGATGCTCAGTTCAACTTTGTGCTTAACCAGGTAATAAACCTTGTGTCGCAGTTTTCACCATGTGCTGTCTGCTATTTCATAAGCATTGAAACATGCTATCTCATGGTGAATTCTTCTCTCACTAGTCTCCCAACAACATTCCTTCTCTATTGGGCAAAGCCTGCATTGCGTTCAACAAGAAGGACTACAGAGGTGCCCTGGCCTTTTACAAGAAAGCTCTTCGCACCAACCCCAACTGTCCTGCTGAGGTACGTGCAAAGAAACGTGCTGTAAAATCCCGAGCAAGTGCCCCCCCTTTCGTCAACGATAATTTGAGTAAGATTTGGAGGGGCGGTCCTTGCTCTGTCACGGGTCAAAATTCAAGATGGTGGTCCTTGCTCTGTCACGGGTCAAAATTCAAGATGGTGGTGGAAACCCCGCATGTGCTTCCAATGAAACGTTTTATTTAATGTGCATGTATTTACTGTCATTAATTGCTCTCGTCAATCTAATAAAAACAGTAAAAGTGGCGGGAGGGCATGGAAGATACTTGCTTGGTCATTGGTGCATACCTGAAACCTCCCAAAAAAAGGAGGGGGGCTGTTTGCTGGGGTGGGGGCGCCTGCTCCAGATTTCACGGTAGCTGTTGCAGGACTGCTCGTGGCACTCACTGCTGTTTCTGTAAGGATCCCTGCAAGTGCTTGAGTTCAGTATTGCGTGCTACTCGTGGCATGAAGGGACTAAGTTGGAGAATAAACGTTGCTAAACATTTAATCAGTTGTATTAGTACTACAGTGTAGCACTAATACAAGACGCTAAGGCTTGCGTGAAAGATTATGAGGGGGCTAAATGGAAAGTATGTAAGTACGAAAGCAGTATGTTCAGTGTTTTTGACAGGCTTACATCGAGATATGCTCTTGAATGATGTTGCTTCTGTTGTTCCTTTCGATCCTACCTATGCAATGTGTTACACGTTACTGTAGGTACGGCTAGGCATGGGCCACTGCCTCTATCGTCTGGGCAAGCAGGAGAAGGCTCGTGCAGCTTTTGAGCGAGCGCTGGTCCTGGACCCACAGTGTGTTGGTGCACTGTCAGGGCTGGCTGTGCTGCAGCTCAATCAGAAGGGTACCGAGGCGACCCGCGCAGGCGTCCAGATGCTGTCGCGCGCTTACGCCGTGGACCCATCCTGCCCTGTCGTGCTGAACCAGCTTGCCAACCACTTCTTCTTCAAGAAGGACTATGGGAAGGTGCAACATCTGGCACTGCACGCCTTCCACAACACCGAAAATGAGGCCATGCGTGCCGAGAGCTGTTACCAGCTGGCCCGCTCCTTTCACGTCCAAGAGGACTATGACCAGGCCTTCCAATATTACTACCAGGTAGTGCAACTGATTGGATTAGGTACCAGCTTTCGAACTGTAAACAGGGTACCTGTTTAAAGCACCTTCCGATTATCGTTGGTGCACTCAGACTTCATTATAACAAAGTTGCACTTTACACGAAAATAAGTTCATTATATTTGAAAATTTGTTGTAGATATTTTTTCTTAACACTATTTTTCATTTACTTTGCTATAACCAGTGTTTCACTATATCTGGGTTAGTTATATCGAGGTTTGAGTGCATTAGGATTTACACTTGATGACAGATTTTTTACACTATTGCACTCTATTCGTCAACATGGCTAGATATTTGTGCTGTTAGCGTAATTGTATTCCTACTTAACTACTTTTCTAGAATTTCTGCTCCTGTTGCAGCTTGAGACCTGGCCATTATTGCATCTTGTTGTTTTCGTTTTACAAAGCTTGCAGCTCCGGAAAGTGGATGACCCTGGCTTTATTATTATGACAGTGCCTTTACTTTGCCATAGCATTTGATCTGCCGCAGCATCATTCTCGGGCAATTTCTGAGGTTACTTTTGTAACCATGCACTTTTGGTATGCGCCCGATTGCATAGTTATGTCCGTCGAGCTTATAGTCGTTTAAGGAATGTTGCCTGTTAGCGCGTTCACTACTGCAGGTGCCATTACGTCCTGCCCTGTACACTAAGAGTCGATGTTTGAGTCGTGGTGCAAGGGGTGCAAATAAAACTCCCTCTCTTACTCTTTGCATGGTAATGCTTAAATGTCTGTTAAATGTCTGCTTAGATTCTAGATTCAACAGCAGTCTGACTTTCCATATTGTATTGTTGCTTATGATGTGTTTGTGGCATCAGTGGCATTTGGCTCTGTGATGTCTTTCTTTTTTAACAGGCTACCCAGTTTGCACCACCGTCTTTCGTGCTGCCACATTTTGGTCTCGGCCAGATGTACATCTTTCGTGGCGATGTAGACAACGCCGCACAGTGCTTTGAAAAAGTCCTCAAGGCGCAGCCGGGCAACTATGAGACTATGAAGATCCTTGGATCATTGTATGCCAACTCGTCAAGCCAGTCCAAGCGAGACCAGGCAAAGACACACCTCAAAAAGGCAAGGTTCATTTACTGTGTTTGGTTTGTTATGCAGTGTGATGGCATTTGGCAGATATGGTTTGTGTAGCTGCAGTCAGCATAATCTTGAGTGCATGTTCGAATTAATAGATTGAGCAGTGTCTCAAAACATGATGTGTTATAAAGAAAGCCACTGGGCATACGCATCTCTTCATGTTTTGTTGATACAGGCCTCATATGGGAGTTACATAGCGCTACGTTCTATAACAAACATTGTAGGGTTTTTAAAACCGATTGGATCAGTTGACATTGGCTGGTTTTCCTCGCACGCTCCGTAATGCCATTGCCGAGTCGCTCCTCCAGAAGTTCGAATGTAAACACCACCATACTGGGGTTGAGCAAGAGCGAAGAACTTTGAGGCCTGATGTACCGTATATGCACTGGGTTTCACACAACTTTAAAAAGGTTTCAAGCAGGCACGGCGTGCCAATTGTTTTTTCCGCGTCACGTAACCTGTCTCAGTTTTGTCCATGTATACTAAATGATGGGGACAAAAAACTGACTGTGGCAAGAAGTATGGAAACTCGTACACAAAATGTGTCATCGGTGTTGTCGACGAGACGGGACTGTGCGTGAACGAGCGTGCGTGGGAACATGAGCTGTCAGTAACAGTTAAAAGTGGGGCACATTTGCCGGTTCATTGCGATTCACGCAAGTGTGAGCCGTATCTGAATAAAATTCAGATTCTGGGTCAAAGCAGGGACACCACCACTCAAGAACTGTTGGAAGCTTTTCACATAAAAGCGCGTGGTTCATTATGCATCAGTGACACTTATTTGTTCCTTTCGCAGGCAGAGAGCATGTTCTTGGATCGCAGGTTTTGATTAAGATGTTATTTGATCGATGTGGGCCTTTCCGATTGCGCATTTCTATACCTCTATACAGTGCAGTCCACTTATAACGATACCACATATAACGATATATCGGTTATAACGATGGGTCGACTTAACAGTCTCATTTTATGCATTGGGGCTATGGGGAAAAAAACCATATATAACGATATGTTATCCACCGCATATCGGATACAACGATGAAAAGTTTGCCGTGGACGGCATGTTTCATTCAGAATAATCGTAACATTTAGATTGATAAGTTCCTCTGAAACGAACTATGCCGAGACAAGACGAAAAGTTAGCGTAGGCGAGTACGTATCTGCCGCCACTGCAGCACAGCGCCGGCAGCGCGTCCCGGCCGTTCAAAAAGCCGAGGAGAGCATCGCGAGTTGGCGCGACGCGCTACAGATGGCGCCAGCTGTGTCACGTTTTGCGCCTCGCCGCGCGTCGACCGCGGAGAGGCTGAGAGAATTAAAAAAAAAAAAGCGAAAAGCAAAGCGCCGCGCTCCGCGGCTCCCCGCCTTCTACAACGGCAAGCCGGCAAGCTACTCGTTCATGATGATAAGGGGCGCGAAAAAAACGACACACAACAGAGAAGAAGTACACGGGACGACGCGCTACTAGCCCCTGTGTGTCGTTTTTTTCGCGCCCCTTATCATCATGAACCAGCACCAACTCGCCCAACTTTTTACTTTACTAAGCTACTCGTAGCTTGCCGAACGAAAGCGGGAAAGAGAGAGAAAATAAAAAAAAGCGAAAAGCAAAGCGGCGCGGCGGCATCGGGGCGGGGCCTCGTTGGCATTCCGGCTGTGTACCTCTGGCTGTGCTCTCTTCCTCCCACTGCTCCCACCCCGCCGTCGGTCAGTCTATCTTCCTCAGCGAACCCGTGATGCGTTCTTCGGAGTAAGAAATAAAGTCTTGTTTTTGACATCCTACTATCTACAATATTTATTAATTGGTGAAAATAGCGAAATGAAGCCTGGAGCTACAAAAGGTACGTCCGGCGACGATTTTTTGGCGGCAGTCCAGATATAACGATCACCGGTTATAACGATCATATTTTTAGGTTTTCTCGATATCGTTATAAGTGGACTGCACTGTATTGCATTGCACTAAGCATTATCTGTTGGATGTGTGCCTTGCTTTTTGCGCATGCCTTTGCATATATACTGCGCTGCAGTAATTTTGGAAGAAACAGTGGAAAGCTTGCACAACCCTTGAACCCTTACTGCATTATTTATTTGTGTCTTTACTGTTGCCCTGTAACGGGCATACCAGGCTTGCTTACAGCCAATGCTACCGCAGCGCCACCACACACCTGCGAGACCTGTCAACGCTTGCCGCTTCAAGCGACTGCATAGAGCGCGCCCTCTCCTGAACCCACTATCCAGTATATTCTAGTACACTATACATTCGTGCACGACTGAGCTGTGCTTGTTGTAATTTGTTGGCTTGTGAAGTGCAACTAGTGATGCCTTGCTGTTATTATGAACGTTGACGTAAAGTGAAAGTGATTTTGCACGGTGAAAGCACCTGCGTCACGCCCTCATGCATGTGCAAGCCTGTAACGGTGAGTACGACAAAGGCAGTAGGTCAGCTGTTTGTCGATCAGGAAAAGTTTCCATGGACTGAAAAAGTGAAAATAACAGTTTTCGGCCGACTGAAGCTACTCTGTGGGGGTAGAGCTTGACTGGGTAATGACCCCGGATACGTATGCACGTGATGGAGGCGTATGTAGAAGCTCATGAACCTTGTGGTGTTGCTATTACCGTTATCTTTTCTTGTCTACACCAACGGGGGTTTGAGGACTGCGAGCTCCAAGCAGGGGCGACGCATCCTCGTTCTCCTGTCTCGTCACGCCATCTATGCCATTCGTACTGCTGAGCACGCAAGATTGGACCATCGCCATGATGCTACGGGAAGGAAGCCTGCACACTTGCAGCGAGGAAGACTCTAGGTGGCACTTTCCAGATGGCTGGCTTATTACCAGGGAGTTTACGGCATTCAATACAAAGAATAGAACAGGTGACATAATTGTAAAGTACACCAGTTGGCAAATATAAGTTACGAAATTTATCAAATCAGTGGCCACGAATGGCGCACTTGTAAAGCAGTCAGACAAACAAATAGACAAAGAACCAATTTTGAAGCGCCCACTTGCGCTGTTGCCAGCACTCCCGTCATCGCGCACCCTCAGAGCAGAACAAGCAGAAAAGACACATAAAGAAACAGTTGAAAAGAACTTACGGTATGCAAGATCGCAAATGTTACCTTGGGACTTCCGAGATCTCGAAAAAGAGCGTGTGCTCCAAGGCCAGGGCCCTTGACAGGACGACATATAACCATCGGCCAGCGGCGATGAAGGACAAAGGATTGCTGTTGGCTGGAGAGGCCAAAAAACATACGCACCCTCCGAAGACCCAAAGTGGTCTCCCGAACCCTGTCTCGTGCCCACGCTTGTCGGGTGAGCAATGCCAGAATCCCGTCAAAAATAGGCCATTGGGACACCGTGTTAAACTTGAGGGGCGGGGATGGCAGTGAAGTGACGGCGATTTATGGCCAGCCACCATCTGTCCCATCAGGAGGAAAGTGGTGCGAAAACTACCGAAGGAAAAATGGTGTTGAGCGACAGGCGCGGACTCTCAAATTCCCACATCCTCCAGGAGAAAAAATTTTCCATTCTAAGAAAACATTGTGTCTCTTTACTTTTTTCTAATTGTCAGCCTTAAAGGGCGCAAGTTGATATCTTGCACTCGGGAATACTATTTGGATGACGTTTGATTCTAGTAAAAGTAGTTTTCTCTTTCGCACATAATCTGATACTTGTCATAGGATGCGGGGTCGGTGTAAGACGGCCGTTTAACGAAGGTTTTTAACATATTACTTATATGGTAATTTTATTGGGATCAAACCGATCTCATAAAATGTAGGTCATCGTGACACCGGGGAACATATAATCGAAGTTCCACTGTAATGGCGAAATTCATGACAATAAAATTCTCATATGATTTATGAGTTTAAGCCGATTTAGTGCTCCACAGTAATATCTTTGACGTAGCACGGTGAAACACAAAGCTTGATTTGCCCAATTAGCAAAATGTTTGACTTATTAAAACAATTTTCTTCTGTCCGTTTTTTTCAGTAGCCACCATGTTTAGAAAATCTTACTCTAAGAAATGCTTTTCTGTTTGTTGTACCCTGTGAAATTCAGGTGACCGATCAGTTTCCTGAGGATGTGGAGGCCTGGATAGAACTGGCTCAGATCTTGGAGCAGAGCGATGTCCAAGGGGCGCTGTCGGCATACGGAACAGCCACCCGCCTTCTTCAGGATAAGGTCAGCAGCCTTGTTTTACATTTCATCTCCCAAGCTGGTTGTCACGACGTCTTGGTTCACTTTGTAAGGCTGCTGTATTCGTATGCCATAATAAGCACTGTGATGCTAAAGGTGATGCATAAGTTTCTATCTAGACACATTTGGCACGTAGAATAAAGGGTCGAGCTAGAAGCATAAATAGCTCATTTGATGGAAGAGGTGCAGGAGCAGTATCAATATTAAGGGGGGACGTGGGTTCTAAATTGTTTTTTTAATTTTTTGCTCAATCTTAACCAAACTTCACTACCTAAGCTAGTTTTTCATGCTGATTTCAAATCTCTAATTTGTTTATTGATATTTCAAGGGGTTTAGAAAATATGAAGGTCTGGATCTTAATTAATTGCGTACTTCTTACGGGACTTCTTGGCAATTTATTCTTGCTAAATCCAAAAAGTGAATGCACAATCTCAGTGCTGGAGACTCGCTGTAGGGGGTGATGCTATTTTTATCCATTTGAAGGCATTTTATAAGCAAGAAAATGGACGAACATTTATGGTTATATATTACAATAAATTTCTGTCACTAAAATCTCCAATGGTAATTTTTGAAGTGATACTAGAGAAATAGAAACAGCATCACCCCCTAGATCATGTCAAGACGAATAAAATGATGCCAACTTTGTCGAATTCACTCAAGTTTAACATAGGAAACCCCCCGTAAGGCCGAGTGCAATGTGCAAAAACATAGAACAGAGAAAAACACATTTGAAGTTTCTAGCAACTTTAACTTTTGCTAAAGTGAAGATACAGTGATATTAATGGCATCATTCTGTAGCTCTATATTATAGGATAAATGGCCATGCTAAATTTCACTGTACCCACCCAGAATACTGCTCACAGCTTGTTCTAGAACTATAAAATAGTCATTCACTCAGCATGAGAATCATTATTTTTTTACTTTGTGGTCGTTCCAGTGCCTTGCAAGTGAAAGGAACGTAAAAAAGTCATGTAATAATGTTGTCCTTGGATAGACAATAGATTTACACAGTGTTTAGGTCTAAAACCAAGAATATTTATTTTTGCAAAAATTCTCACTATTTGCCATCATGACTGTTTACAGCAGACCAGGGCTGTAAGCAGAGTCCCCTGCTGGCTTGTGACGCTTTGAAAGTCTTTCCTTTATTGAAGTGCTGTCGAGATGCCCTCTTCGCGATTTTTGCAGCCTGCCCTTGTCCTTCTCAAGGCTGCGATGCACCAAGTTATTGCCAGTGCTGTAGCCCAGCTTCTCGGCAATTTCCACGTTGCTCTTGGTTGTGCCTTGGTTGAAGCGGCTGATGGCTTTGGCAACTGCTCTTTCAATGCTCCGCAAGGATGCATGCTGAGTTTTGGGGGCCTGCTGCCAAATCATAGCGTGCAGGCTCTCACTTGGGTTCTGGGTGATCCCATCGCTGCACCTTTCCAAGAGGGCATTGTCGCTCAGCCGCCTAAACTCAGGCTTCAATGCCTCAGTTACGAAATCAGGCAGGCTGTCCTTGTGTGGTGGCGGCTTCTCATTTTTCGCAAGAGCTCTCTGAAATTTGCACCAGGATTCAGGGCCTTCAGGGCAAAGGTCATGCTTTGGTGCCTCGTCAGTTGATGACACGTGGTTCAAGTTGCTAGAACAGCCTTCTGCATACCTGGAACATCGTTCCTGTGGCTTCTCAATGCATAGCCATAGTATGAGGTGATCTTCTTTATCTTTTGTTGCGCAAGTCTACCCTTTCCATTAAGTGAGCCACCTTGAGCTTTTTTTTTCTCTACAAGGGTACGTAAGGCAGCTCCCATACGTTTGTATACATGATTTATGCAGTCCTTTTTGGCTACCTTTATGAAGCCGTACACCTCTTTTTCTGTGGGTGCATGGAATGTCCTGCTGTCGTCGTCCGACAGCATTGTCGTATAACGAAGCTTGTGCTTTTCAAGTGACCGCTCAAACAAGCGTAGTGCTGCCTCCACTTCCATCTGGCCAGCATTACAATCAACATTCTTCTGGCACAGAGGGGCATGCTGAATGAGCCAGGCAGAATGTCCTGCTTCTCCTTCCTTGGGTCCTGTGGTGCAAGCCAGGCAAAAGTTCGATAGCACGATATGGTCTATCACGAGGCCACTATACATCTCAACAACGCAGCCAACACATATATGCGAGCTATGTCCACGCGTAAGCCAGGTGCCGGCATAAATGACGTCGACGTTTCCGGGCGCGTTGCTGAACTCTGCATAGAGCTCCTTGACGCGAGCAACGCTCGCCGCTTCGCATTCGGCAGCAGTCGCACAGCAGCCTTCTTTCATTATATTCATGTGGCTTTGGTAACTCTTGTGGTGAAGCCCTCAATGCGAAATATTCATCCAGGCGAAGAAGTCCGACAGAGCTGTTGCCCCCTTGCCGATACTGTTGATGGCCTTCATGGCACGCATATTAACTTCAAACGGCCTTATTTTGGCATCGGTCTCGTCGGCTATACGTGGGAACGAAAAACGCTCTTCGCGAAAGTCACAACTGCCGCACGTGACTATGAGCTTCAAACACAGCCCATACTTTTTCTTGGCCTTTGAAATAGTGACGCTTCTTTCACCGCATTCTGGGCACGCGACAAGTCCAAATCACGAGCGTATCGTCACCAGATCAACAATAACAGATTCTGTCCCGTTTTCTTTGCCACCATCCTCCAGATCAATATCTAGTAACTCGAACTTACGTTTCGTCGCGCACTCCGATGCGAGTGATGCCTTCAAGCCCGCTGCATTTCTCGCGCACTCAGCAAACTCGTCCGCCGAATATTACGCCGTGTCAATGCGGTCTAGGATGCTGCTGGAAGCGCATGATGACGATTTGACGACGACACAATCTGATGAGGTGCTGATGCAAGGCACAGGAGAGTGCACCGCTTCGGACACAAGCGACCGTGGCTGCGCGCCGTCGCCGGAATGCGCCGCTTCGGCGACATCGGACGAAATCGGCTGCACGTTGTCGGCTGCTTTCTTTTGGCGGGCGTTCCACGGGCGCCTCCGTTTCTTGCCGTATGCTTGGTGCGTCTTCTTCTTTAGACGAGCGTCTCCAATCCAAAAGACGGAAAGTCGGTGCGTCGGTCGCGTAGCACAAGCAGGCACGTGCGGGAAGCAGACGAACAACGTGCGCGACCAAGAACCAACGGCCGACGAACAATATACAAAAAAAAAAAGCACAGGCAACTTTGGCCGCATCAGCCAATGGGAAGCGAGGAACAGGGGGCTCGCCTGGTGCGCGCGCGCTCCGGCCAATCAGCGGCTTGGAAGGGGGGTACCGGAACAGGGGCGAGGGCAGCCGTTCTATTTAAGCGACGCCATTTTGAAGGGTGGCAAAATGCGCACAAAGGAATTGGCTTCAAAACAAGCCCAAGATGGCGGCGATCGGCCGACTGCCTCACCGGCGGCGCGCGAGGGAAGTTTGAATGAATTTGACCTGTCGTGGGTTGTTTTGCGGCTCCCGTGGCGACTTCATAATCAATTTTAATCTATTTACAGATCAAATTCAGCGTTCACAATTTGAGGACACGTGCTTATAGGTATAAAAATTTCAAATATCGCATTTTCTCAAAATCGACTTTTTGGCCATTTTTCACCATTCTAAGACCCACGTCCCCCTTAAGTGCAGCAAACGCTAGAGAGTAGAGTAGAAGTTAATGGACAATTTTCTATCGGATATTCCACGAAGCTTTTTAAATGCTTAAGTGGAACAGTTCTTCCAGTGGAGTTGGTTTCATTCTTGAATTCTATGCCCCTGTTCATCTCACGGTAAACAGAACTCTAGTTTAATGGAACATATTGTTCGGGTATTTATAGTTCTCCTAAGGGGAGGTGCTACTCAGATAAACAATTTCTTTAATCTGTAGCCTAAGGCAGTGGTTCTCAGCCATGGATGTGTCTGAGACCCCTTGTGGACTGGTGGAAGTCATGGGGACCCCTTGCAGAGGAGGGGGGGGGGGTATGTAGGTAAAAAAAAAACACAACTGGAGCGTGAAACAGGTGCCTTTTATTGCTACCAAAAACATCAAGCTAGCGTGCCACATCACTTCATCTTGGTTAGTTCATCAATACGTTGTACAATCACACCTAAAGAAAAATGCAGGCTTCGCGGACCCCCGTTTGAGAACCACTGGCCTAATAAAATAAATTTTTTGCCCTATACACAGGTTTTTATACTCATTACAAATATGTAATCAGTTTTTAAGTAAGTTGCATAGCTTTTGTTTCATATCATGACAATGCATTAAAATAAAGTTATTTATTAAAAAAACCTTTTTGCCACTAAATTTTGATGGTTCTAGGGGTTCATGTTGCTCCATATTAACTGTAGAATGTAAGTAACTAACAAGAAAGTGTGCATAAGACCTTGTAATGAACAAGAAAAATTGTAATGCGAGAAGTCTTAGAATGCTCAGATCATACTAATTGCATACTTTTTATTTGTAATAATTATTTAGGGGATATCAAATATTAAAGGAGATATTTCGACTCTTCACATGTTAAGAAATATGTGGGCAAAATTTCATTCCAGTCTGGCTATCAGGGGTACAAAATACATGTATAAATTCAACAAGCTGCCCAAAATTGTGTACTTGAAAAAAAAAAAAAAGCATTTTAGATGTATAAGTGATAACTCATCAATGCAGCAAAGATATGTTTTTTAAAATGATTTCTTCCGTCATGAGAGCTTGGTAATTGTTACAAGCTGCCACTCTAGCGTCGCCAGCGCGAAGTCGGCGACGGGAATGACAGCAGGTTGGTTCGTTCCGTACGCAAGCAGAGACAGTGAAGAGATCAGAGACGTGAGAAAACAAAACAAACTTTACTCTAGTGATATTGCAGCACACGGGATCGAATACAACACTTCAATACAACTAACAAAATACATCAACACTTGATACAACTAAAAAATACATATAAAAAACAATAAATAAGCTTACGCGAGAGAACTATTACAAACTACACAAGCTAACAACAATAGAACTACGGAGGAGAAAGTTCGAAGATATAAACAGGTGAAGGCATACGTGTGATGACCGGCAGCGTTGCGTCCCCGACGATCGGATGCGAGAAGTCGAAGAGAGTTCTGGCACGACTGCGATGTCGGCGGTGTTGCTACGCTGGTGGCTCCGGGAGGCTAGTGCTTGCAGGTGACTTCGAGCAGGTTGAGCTAACTTGAGGCGAAGTCCCGATGTCTACGTCGCAGACGTTAATATCGCGTCACAACTAGACGAATGGCTAAGTTTAGGTGGCCAGCCGATACAGAGCCACACTAAAAACTTCTAGAAGAGATGCTTGTTGATCTGTTTCTACACCATGTTGGTCAGCGACTAGTCTGTCTAGCAGGGCAAAATCCTGCGCTTAAATCCCCCTCGTGTCGCCTCGCTCTCTTCCTTGGGGACAAGAGACCTCTACATGGGTCCAATCATGCGCGTTTAATTGATGGAAACTCCACCCCAAAAATATTTTGACCCCACCCCTTTTTAATTGGGAGAGGGCCCTCAACTAGCGAGAGTGACAACCTGTTGGGTTGTTGTCATACGGCTTGGCCACCAGAGGTTTTCCCACGCTTTCTCCCGTGGGAACAGTCAAGCCGTTTAACTCTCAGCCGGTGCGTCTCGTAGTCTAATCCTTGTTCAGGGTACATCGCGGCCTTTTACGACCTTGCAGACGCCGCCGCAGTTACAACAGGATCAACCGTCGGCGGCGACGTTGTAAGAAGAGCACCCCATTCTGCACTTCTCGGCTCCCTTTCATGTGCCCGCCGTTTCTCACGGTCAGTCGGGGAGTACGGCGCCCGTTAATTGCCGTGACGCGGTGTCGCCAAAAATGGCCGTCCGTGACATTAATCATTGTTATTTTGAGCACATGCCTTTTGTGAACTGCTCATGTGAAATGCAGTGGCAAGCAGCCTGGTGAAAAATTCCACGGGACTCTTGACAATGAGCTTCTCAATTTTATGTATCTACCTTATGCTCTTTCAATGTGATTTCAACCTACTTCGAGTTTAATTACAATCTTAAATTTTTTTTTTCGTGAAAGTAGAGAAACGAAATTTGTGAAAGCAAAGAAAAACAAACATATGTACCTTTGGAAAAAACCTGAATTTTTTTTTACTTTAATCTTCCCTTGAATGATAGTTTACTGCACTTTATAAATATTTGTTGCGAGTGAGAAGGCTGCCAAATGTTGTGGGATGAAAATGTAGTGGCATTGTGATAAGGCTACAATGACAGGCCACAGTGATGACGTAGTGGTAGTTGTGATTGGAGAATGTAGTGTAATTCACTTTTTTGTCTGAGTATGTGCAAATGCTTAAAATGGTCCTGCAACACTCCCTCAAGTACCCATGGAATGGATTCATTAAAGGAGCTTATTGTCTCACAAATTCACCACTTCAAAATTTTTTCGAATACATCCAGTATGAGCGATGTTACAAAAATTTGTCACTTGCTGCAGTTGCATTCTCTCTTCTCTCGTCCCGACGATAGCACTGGAAGCTAAGGAAGGAGAAATGGCAAGGGGAAAGCAAGTACATCACACATGCCTCGTGACTTTGACCACTTTTTCTAATCTTTTTTTCTTTGAATTGATCGTGACTGATTCTCATTTCATTAGTATCAGTGACAGGGTATCATGTCTTGGTGTTCACCTCAATGGTTACCTTAAATTTGATCTCCATATTGCTCACGTTAGCAAAATGACAGCACTCGGCATTTGCGCACTACTTAAAGACCAACTCTGGTGATTTTTTGAAATCAATGGATCTCAATGAAATTCACTGGGTACGTTCATTTGTACGTTTGCCCCATTCATGCCAAATCGCAAGCTTGAGAGTTTCCCAGATTCTTTTCAAATGAATCCTATAGCATCGCCTCGAAATGCTCACCTCGCTTGCCAGAATTAATGGCAACATTGTGCGTGTGACATTCAGTTTTGCCTGGCAGAAGTGACGGAACTGATGTGCCGCTGCAGCGTTAGCTTGTCTGTTATGGATTGTGTGGGTTTGGCTAGCGATTCCTTGGTTGAGCTTGCGATTTCCTTTTCTGTGTTGGTGGGTGTGCGGTAGGTGGCAAGTGGTGTGTTGTGAGCCACACACAATTTGCCATATATTCACCATAACAGCGTAGGCATTTTAGCCGATCGTGGCGGACGGCGTAAACACGTGGTGCCATATGGAGGGCATTATGTGCTATCAGGCAGGTTCGAGCAAATGATTAGATCACACGTAGAAGCGCACTCGGCTGGGTATCTGTTTTGGTTTTACGTTTTTTCGGTAAATAAAAACTATTTTTTAATTCGTTGAGCATTTTAGCTACCGGGTGCGTGACAAGAGTGTCACAGGAACATAAAAGCGCCATTATCCTGACATAGTAAAAAAATTTCCCCAGTTGGCCTTTAAACTTGCTCATATTTTTCTCACAACGCACTTCTGTTTATGTACTTTGCTTTCATTCATTCTCACGTCACTTATGGCATGTTTTATAAGGAAATACTTATCAGTGTCACTTTTCATCCATATAGCATTTAAAAAAATCGTGCCCTTTACGTTATTTTTAACTGTCCTCGCGACAGAACACCACTCACCTTCTTCACAACAATGACATCTTAAATGTCAACAACTTGTTTAGGTTCAATCTAATTATGTTTCTGCATAAACAATTAACAAATAAACTTTTTACCACTTTCAATTGATTCCAAGCTTTTAGCAACTCTAACACGACAAGGTTTGCCCATAGCAATAACTTTCTGTTACCTGAAGTTTATACTAACTATGGTAAATCATCGTCACACTTCAGTGTTATTTCATCATGGAATGCTTCACACTTCAGTGTTATTTCATCATGGAATGCTTTACCCTCATCGCTAAAATATTAAATTTCTTCAATTTCATTAAAAAACTCATTAAAAAATACTTGTTAAATATATGATGTTCCTTTTTTTTTTCTTTAGTTGTACCAGAACTGTCTGGCATTATATTGTGCTTATAGTATTTTGTACACTTGGAGTCCATGCATTTTTGTTTTTCTTTTTGTGTATGTATTGCTAGAAATAGATGTTTTTATGGTTCAAGCTTCTGCTAATCCTTGTTTAATTTATTTCTAACCATTACCAAGGGTCCCGTCGCAGTTTATTATTTTGGGACCCACGTCTGTATATTTTTTATTCTGTAACAATCCTCTCTTCGTAATAATAAAAACTGATTGATTGACTGATTGATTGAATGTACGGCTTTTCAGTGTAATTGCATATGCTCGTGTAGACAAGTCGGAACCTCCCACAGCGATCCCCGTAACGAACAAGCATGCCATGCTTAAGTCAGTCAGTGCCTGATTGAACGGCTGTGACGAGCGATTTTAGAGCTTCTTCCAACATTCGTCAAGAGAAGAAAAAGCAGTTTTTAGCTGAATTTGGGAATTTATTGTGAATACAAGGCCGCAGGCTGCACTGTATGGTTTGGCTCGCATGTTCTTGGGAACCTCTGGCGCAGCGTTTTCCGACCATGTTCAAAAAATGTTGCAGGGCCCCTTTAAGGTGCCATGCTGTTGTTGTGTGTTATGTGCTGCCATGTTCAGGCGTGTTCTGCGGCACACTTGCAATCTATTGCTGCCCTACTGACTTGCCTTGTTTTGAAATTCAGGTGAAAGCTGACGTGCCTCCGGAGATCCTGAACAACGTAGGTGCACTGCACTTTCGAATGGGCAACCTGCAGGAAGCGCGACGTTTTTACGAGGCCTCCCTGGAGCGCAGCCGTACAGAGGCTAACAACGACGAGCATTATTACAGTTCGATCTCGGTGACCACCACCTACAACCTTGCTCGGCTGTACGAAGCACTCAGTCTCTTCGACAGGGCTGAGCAGGCGTACAAGAACATTCTTCGGGAACATCCGAACTACGTTGACTGTGAGTGGAGATGTCTTTTTATGAACTTTATTCTTTTTTTCGTACAGATTATCCACAGGAGGGCAGTGCAGCCTGGTCTTGTACCTAGTGTAAATTCTTGCTGATTGATGCATGTGCTAAACATGCCACTTTTGAAAATGTTTGAAGTTGAGCTTTGCTACTAGCTCTGATGTTACTTGCAGAAGGCTTTTACTGTGATATCACGATAAATATCTAGTCATTTTCTTAATCTCAGAGCTCTTGTGAAGGTCATAGTAGACCTGCTGTGCTCTGTCAGCCTCTGCTTGTGGTCTACAGTTTGTTTAAAAAAAATACTGTTAATGCCTTAATTACCATTTTACTTGAGTTTGCTGTGGAACATGTATTTTTGTCTGTGTTTTGAAGTTGTATGAAATACCTATTGCTTTTATTTCTTAGAGGCTGTGATATGCCTGTGTGACAGTATTGTTGTACTAGTTACGAGTAGATCTGTGCGAATAGTGAAATTTTTGGTGCAAGGCGATTTCAGATACCTTAGAATCTCATTAAACATAACGGAACCTGAAGGGACCAGAAAATTATGTTTCATTTAAAAGTAGTTTTGTTTAGTGAGAGAAGAACAAGGGTGCTGAATACAAGCACGAAACCAATCTTACAGAAGTGCTTGTTTTGTTGCAGAAATTTCGTTCAACAGATTTCCATTTACTGAGAATCTACTGTATTGAAGTACAAGTGCTAATCGAATCAGATATTTTTTGAATATCTTTCGAATATTTCTAGGATATCTTTTGAATACTCCGAAGCTAAAATGCAGCAAACAAAGTTGGAAAAAATTTCTAAGCATATTCTTATAAGATTGCAACATGAAAGTGTTTCTATTGGCTTGGTCGATGCAGCACTGTCGGTATAGTGTTTTGTAGTTGCCTTATCAAGAATGAAACAATGAAGAGGTCGAATTGTATTTATGTACATATTTGGTGCAAAGTGTTGTCGACAGCGCTTTACTCGCGGGAGGCAACGATGTTGTTTTTTCAACCTTTCCGGCCCTTTCAACATGTGTGGAAGTGTAAGTGATGTGGGGGACAAGGGTGTGCTCTCTTCAGGTGTAAAGTTCCTAATCTGCCTTGTAGACATCAACATATAAAAACATCTGAAATTTTTGGATGCTAAAAATTTTTGGTGTGCGATATTTCGGACTTCTTGTCCAAATTTCAAGTCCTAAACAGTGTTAATTGAACCTCTGCCTGTGCTGCATCGTATCATCTCCATGTTCGAACCAGCGTTTTCTTGATTCAATAAATTTGCAACCACAGCGGAGACAGCTTTGCCCCAATGTGAGAGTGAAATGAGGTGAAGCATGTTGTAAAGAACTTAAGGGCAGATGCTACTCGAAGACACTTTTTTTTTAAATATTCACCCTAGAGCAATAAAACTTGCGCTGTTTATGGAACTTTTTATGCTGATTTCAAATATACAATTAGTTTTCTTGCAAGTTGCACACTTCTAGCTCTGCAACATGACAAGGTGAAAACCTTAACCTTTTTCCCCCCTCTTTTCATCCCTAAATTTCTGTAAATTTTTACCATTCATAGTTCATAATCTTTCAAATAAAGCGTAGAATGCAAATAACTAATTAGAAAGCAGATACATAATATGTAGTATGTGTGAAAAATAATAGACATAAAAAGTCCACACTTCACCTACCGTAGTAAAGGTTTACATACAATTTTTTTATTATACAATAATATACTGGAATTTAAACTGGATACTTGCATTTTCCATACTTTGGAAAAAGTGTGAGCCAAATTTCATGCAGATCCGATCACTAGAAGCGACTGAAAAAGGAGGGGCACATTGGAAAAATTGGCCAAAATTGGGTTTTGAAAAAAAAAAAAAAGAGTTTTAAAGTTAAAATTGAGTTTTTGTTTATGAAAGATATCATTAAATCTGATGAAATTTGCACACCAAAAAGAACAATCCTTCTTGCAGTGGCCACTGCGACTAAAATACGCCAGCACCCTTAGTTTGTCCCTGTCGGCTTTTTCGAGCCGACTCCTCACAGACATTTCGCTCACAGACCGGGTCATGAAACGCTTGCCAAACTTCCGGTCCATCTGGCAGAGCCTTGTGCCAACTGCAAGCTAGGAAGAAGTTCGACAGACTGCGAAATTCAAACTAAGTCCATTGTCATGCCATTTTGTAGCCATGTTTGTGGCCTATACCGTCCTACATAATGGCAATGTCGTCCCTGCTAAGTTCTCTCACTGCGAGCTCTTTCGACCTCGCAAGATCGGCGCTGATGTCATCCATTGGCGTATCACGAACGTTCCGGCTGACGGGTGTGAATGACTTTTGATGCTTTGGCTTTTGCAAGCCTACAACTGCCGAAAATTGGACCAACTGCTCGTAGCCTATTCCTACAGAGCGTGCCGCACAACGGCTTTCACTTGCGAGCAATGCCTTTTTTCTTTCATAACCGGAGAAAAGCATTGTTCAGCTGCGCTGCTCGACAAGACATGGACCCCGCAAATAGGTTTCACAGAACATGCAAGCCTGCAGCAGCCAATGGCGGTCCCCGATTCGTACCACGTGATAAGTCAGTTGCGGCGCTCGAAAAACGCGCAGAAGCGTGCCTCTTTTTTATTATTTCTTGTGCTGCATCAGAGAGGGAAACTGTTGTTATTTGAAGGGTGAGGCTTGACTCTTCGACTCATGCGATCAACAATGGCGAGCGGCGGCGCATTATCGGCGGCAAGGTGCTCGAAAACTGCACACTTTGGACCTTTTAACAGGCACCTTGTGCTCTTTAGATGCAATTTTAAAGCATTTCCAGTTAAGTCTCGACCTGTATTTTTTATTCATAACAGTAGCGGTACTAATCTTATCAAGGCAGGCGAAATTAAAAAGTCGGTAATTTTGAAAAAAACTTGCGTTTTTCGACCCGCATCTCCCCTAAGGAGGTCACTTTTAGTTTGACGACTGTATTTGTCTGTGAGAAGTTTGAATAGCAAAATTTTTGTGTGAATTCAATCGAATAGCAAACACTATTAAAAAAATATTTGGACATTTGAATATTCACTCACCCCTAGTTACAAGACATTCTATGAACTATTTTCTGCTCAGGTTATCTTCGCCTTGGTTGCATGGCGAGAGACCGAGGACAAATTTACGAAGCTTCTGATTGGTTCAAGGAAGCTCTTCAAGTGAATCAGGTAAGAAATAAAAGGGCTTGTCTACAGATTACAGTTCTCGTTAAGAGACTGCTAGGTTTCAACTTTTGTCTGGAGACTCCCATCACGTCATCTATCATGAATCACTTAGCAGTTTTTGATGAAAAATTATTGAACAGGGGTGTTGCTGGAACTCATATATTGTCTGTTCTGCCTTACTTCGATTAGCAGTCTCAGGGCGTTAGAGAGGGACACTCAAGTGAAACAGTCAATCAGTATAGTTCGATATATTGCACCCTGAGCACTGTAATCTCATTTATAGACTCATTCATTCTTCATTCATTCATTCATTCATTCTTCATTCATCCGCTTTCAGCCTGTGTTAGAATACTGCAAGACGAAGGCCTCTCCCATTGATCTCCAGTTTTCTCTATCCTGTGCGAGCTGATTCATTTTCATCCCTGCGAACTTCATTTTGTCACTCTGTCTAATTAGTTTCCTTCCCTGACTGCATTTTTTATCCCTCAATAACCATTCTGTTGCTCTTACTGCCTACTCCTTGTCTTTTGTACACATTTTATGACTAGTCCAAGTCTGTTTTTCTAGCTTGTTTTCAGCTAGGATGTCTGCAACACCTGTCTGTTCACTTACCCAAGCTGTCGTCCTCCGATCTCTCAGTATTACTCCTGTCATTCCATGTTCCATTGCACAGTGCATAGTCCTCAACTTTTCCACTAGTTGCTTTGCTAATCTCTATGTTTCTGCCCCATACGTCAGAACCAGCAGTATCCGCTCTCTCCCGTTTGTATTCTTCGGTGATTTTCTTTTTTTAGGAGATTTATTAATAGAGGAGAAAAAAAAAAAAGGTAAAAGTATTAATTCTGCGCCAAAATTTCCGTCCGTGGTGTCGGGGATTCGGAATTCTATTTTTTGTGTTTTGGCAACAGTGACATAGAGAAATTTCTTAGATCTTGATATGTTAAGCTTATGCTCCCCTCAAAGAACTATGTATTTTTATTTTACTGATGGCGAGTTGTGTAGGACCTAGTAAATACCATCAAAATATATGACGCCACAGCGTTAGGTGCCGGAATTTGAAGATGCTGTCGCTGCTCGCATTTTTATTTCATACGTCTTCTTGCCTACCAAGTGCCTTCTCTTGGCAAGCATGGTGATCTTGGAATTGTGAAAACAGTATTTTACTAATATTCTAAACATCGTTTGTCTCTTTAGTGTCTTTTTTATGTGGTGACCTTTTTTTTCTTTCCAGGTTCACTTACTAACCAGTACACAGGTTCTTTTTTTTTTTTTTTGACTAACTGCCTATTTTGGGCCTTCTGCAGGAGCACCCCGACTCGTGGTCCCTGATTGGGAACCTCCACCTGGCCAAGCAGGAATGGGGTCCCGGCCAGAAGAAGTTTGAGCGTATTCTCAAGGGTGCGCAAGGGGACGCCTACTCCCTCGTAGCGCTGGGTAACGTGTGGTTGCAGACTCTGCACCAGCCCATTCGTGACCGGGACAAGGAGCGCAGGCACCAAGATCGGGCTCTCTCCATGTACAAGCAGGTGCTACGGCTTGACCCACGAAACATCTGGGCTGCCAATGGCGTGGGTGGGTTCTTACCCCCTCTCTCCTCCCAGCATTTACAGTAGACTCAATAATTCAAACCTAAGGGTTCCTTATGATTTTGTTGTAATAAGCAGTGGTTGGTTTCAACTATCAGAAATATAAGCAACATACCAACTAGTGTTATGATGTTTGTGCTTATTAAAGGCCGCAGCAACGTCATTGACAGCTCCGCATTATTGCAAGAAAAGTTTTTGAACATCATTGATCACACTGATGCACATTATTATGCAGTGTGTCCACACAATTGTAGAAAAAGGAAGAAGTTTGTTTAGTCATGGAAAGCTTCAGAAAAACAAAGTAGTTTGCTCTGCTCTTTCTTAAGCTTTACTTTGCTAAATGCTTTAAGTTAACCGAAAAGTTTCAATCATTGAGTAGCAAAGTTCTTTCAATGTGGCTGAACAGTTGCTTTCCTTGGCTTACTTTTGGCTTTCTTTGGCTTACTTTTTCTTCTTTTTGTGGAATGATGACCATATTTTTACTACTGTTGTTAGACCTTGACAGTCATCTTTCAGTGGCTTCTGGCCGATTTCTTGCTTCAAGAACTTTTCTGTTCTTTGACAGGTGCTGTGCTTGCCCACAAAGGCTACATCTCAGAGTCACGGGACATCTTTGCGCAAGTGCGAGAGGCCACTGCAGATTTTTGCGATGTGTGGCTCAACATTGCTCACATTTACGTGGAGCAGAAGCAGTATGTTGCTGCGATTCAGATGGTATGGCTATCGCATTGGCAGTTTTCTCTCTCGGTTCTGTTGTGTGATGTCGGTACATTTGGACATGGGCATTAGTCAAGGGGACGTCTATACCTAAGGCACTCTCAGGTTGAGTAATGAACTACCCGGAACATAACAAATTGGGCTGAGAGCGCAGAAGTGCCTAATGGTCCGACTTCTTCAGCCACTTTGATTTACGTAATTTTTCCAGACAATATGCAGCATTCAGTTTACGAAGAGGAAAGGCATTTACGTCTCATAACTCATTATAGAAACGCAGTTGAGTCATGCCATGATACATCTTAGTGACCAAGTTTCGAGGGAGTTTGGCTTTATGACCATTATGACTTTATGCTTTACTCCGACATCACACCATTTTGTTACATTGTAGGTTGAAGAAATGACCTCTCTCTTGTAAAGTTTTCTGCTTGAGTGGCAGAAATGTTTTTTTAGATAGGCCATCAGTTTGAACTTGTTTGTAAGAAACTGTATGTCTGTGATTATCGTTTTGGATCCTAATTCCTAGAAGTGACTTTTTATGCAGTGGCGAGAAGAAGGCACAGCCTCAATATGCCACATTACTAGAATCATGAAAGTTAAGAATGTACTGTGAAGCCTAGTTGTAATGAACGTGCATCCAAACATCAAAGCACCCTGAAGCATGCTATTTGTTATTGACTTATATTGATTAAAAAAAATGTTCGACCTACGTACATCGTTCATACAATAGTTTCTTATACCATTGACATTCACAGTAATTAATTTCTTCAAATTATCCATTTGGCCTTCAGCAAACTGTACTTGCAGATAATTGACCATTGCTACCTTAACGAGATTTGTCGTATGAGAGAAGACTTTTAATGGCAATTGCAGGGTTAAATTCTCGGTCGTGGTGTCCACACATTTCGAGAAGGTGAAAATGCTCAGGCCCATGTGCTTCGATTTAGCTGCATGTTAAAAACCTCAGGTGGTTGAAATTTCCAGAACCATTTGCTACGGCATTCCTAGTAATCATATTGTGTCTTTGGGACGTTGAAAAGCGCAGCAGTGAATACACTTAAACCTCATTATAATAGAGTTGCATCTCAGAGAAAAATAAGTTTGTTATATCTGAAAATTTGTTATAAAGATAGATTCCTAACACTTTATTTATTTTAAGGCCACTCTTCATTTACTTTCTTATAACAGATATTTTGTTATGTCTGGGTTTGTCATATTAAGGTTTGAGTGTATATTTATTATTAATAGGTTTACCGTGTGCTGTCGTTGCAGAGTTGCCAGTTTGCTGATAATAAGCAGATTTGGGCTTCTTCTTTTCCCTGATCCAGTTGTAGAATTTTCTAATCGCTTGTTGCATTTTCGGGCTTATTTGAAATTTCTCAATAAATGTAGTTATTTAGTTATCTTCATGCTTATCAATAGTGCATTTGTGGATGAAATTGAGTAGCCGAGTGTTGCAGTCAAACATACGTTGGGGGAATATTACTCATGCACTGGCAAACTCGCATTCAACCAAACACAGTGAAACCCCATTAATACGGACCTTCCGGGGACGCCGGCATAACTACGCACTAGACGTACTACGCATTAACCACCAGCTACAAATTTTCATCTCCAGACATGCATCGTTGCCACCAACAAAGAAATAAATTCTATGCCACAGAAAATATTGCCTAAAGTGCCCACAGCAAAGCCATCTGTTTATTTTTGCCAAAGTGCAGAAAATATTCTGACTCTCGCACGACCGCCCGATAGCACTCGGTGGCTGACGCCAAGGCGCATTTCGCAGGTATTGGAGGTTCAGAGATTCACAGTGTGGTACAGAGACAGAACAAACACAATCGGCTGTCCGTGACACAGTTGTTTCTGCTTCTAAGTGAAAACTGACACAGTTTTCTTTCAAACCCCTTACATTCGTAAAGAGAGCCAAATTGTCTACTGCATGGCTAGTTGGGTGCAGTGTTTTGTTTAATCGACGCACACCATGACTGCCGATCCGCTTGCTGTAGAGTACGCTCACTCCGCTTCAGGACATGCGCAGATGTGGGTTAACGCAGCAATGACGAGCTTTCTGCAAGCAATGCACTCTCCGCGATGCTCGAGCAGTCCTGTCAATGTATGGAGGCGCGTTTGGGCTGTCGCTGAAAGTCTCCAGCATGATTACAACAGCCCTACACTTGCTGTACGTTGCTCCTGCTAGCATAATACAGCAAGGTTTCTCCGTGCCTGCAACCCGCAATCCTAGACTCCGCAACGGCGAGCTGCTTGCGTTTCTGTAAAGCGGTGCGCCTGCTTGAATACACGGTCCCACACAACGAAGTGGTAAAAATTGGCAGCCCAGCACATTCAGGTAGTTGCCTCCTAAAAGCGTGCAGTAAGCTTAAAGTGACGCTACGCCACACGCGTGCCCAAGCAATTAACCGGGTGCGAATGAATACTGGTGCGAATGTTGGCGGTCGCTACCTCGCCTTCATTTTTCTTTTATGATTACTAGAAATGTCATCGCCGCAATCTCGCGGAGGTCAGAATAACTGATTGGCTGATTTCCGCACTTATCAGCATGATGAAAAACCATTCACTACACATTGTGGCGTCTGCAAGATCAGTGGCGCAGTAAACTTGTGTGGCACAAAATGTTATCATGGTACGCTGTTAGTTCACACAAACTGGTACTGCACACAAAGACTTGAAGTACAGTCCCCTGTTACAGTACTTACTCAAATCTAGGTCGACCCCTCAAAAGCTTGAAGCCCGGAAAAAACAACAACAAAAAGACCTTGAATGTAGGCCGAACCAAACAGCGAAAGACAGCGTTTACAAGGAGAAAACATTCATTGAGCATGAAGATGAAACAAAGCAGTTGGTTGATGATGCAAATAACTCGAGCAACGTACAGCCGCTAGCCCTCTTGTGTATTTCTTTGTCATAGTTTTTTTTTTCACGCTGCCTCTAGTTCGATGCCGCGCTTGCTGATGCCACGCATATTTCAAGTCGTCGTCGCTGCTTCCCTTGTCGCTGACTTCAAACAGTGCACAATCCTAGGTGCCATTAAGCACATTGGATATGCCGCACTTCTTGAAAGCTCACAATCAAAGTTCCTGGGATGTATTATGCTGCAGCCCTTCCAGTGAAGCACCTTTTTTTCGTGCACTCTAATGTCCCGCCTGGCTTGAGGGCTGGATGATGACTCCTGCGGCTTTATGAGCGGCACTATAATGACACGACCTGTTTGGCACCATTGAGCTAGCCCACACACAGCTCACTTGAAGTGCAACTCAAAATGACAAACGGCTTGCCTACACACTCGCCCCAAAGGTAAAAATGGCAGCCTTCCATGTGTACTCAAGTCTTGGCTTCTAAGGGCTACAGTACCACCAAGTGGCGCTTGTTGTGTACCATGTTTCTCAGTGAAAGATGGTGCATTTTTCAAAATCCTCGAATCTAAACCGACCCTGGCAGTTTGATACAAATAAATTTGAAAAAGCTATTGGCCTAGATTCGAATAAATGCGGTGTGATGATGACAAAGCACGTGATATTCGCTAGCTAGCACGTACACTGACGCGTCATTGCTGTCCAATTATTTTGACAGTGTAAAGCAACATGAAGTATTTTCGTTTCCTTTGCCTTGGCTGGCAGTACGAGAACTGTCTGCGCAAGTTCTACCGTCATCACCATGTGGACATCCTGGTGTACCTAGCCAGGGCATTGTTCCGCTGCAATCCGGCTGCGCGAGTGCAAGCGTGTCCTGCTCAGGGCACGTCGAGTGGCACCCCAGGACACCCTACTGCTGTACAACATTTCCCTGGTGCTGCAGAAGCTGGCCGCCCAGTGCCTGAAAGACGACAAGTCCTCCCTGGCTACAGTGCTCTCGGCCGTTCACGAACTTGGCCTTGCACACAGGTACACGCCTGTTTCAAATGCAGCTTGTGTCCCACGAAAAGAATGCGCTGATGTGGACATTACAAGTTGCTGAATTCGACATGTTCAAGACTTCTCAAATTTTTTCTAACTGGAGCTTATGCGGTGTCCACTATTCCCCAGGTACTTCCAGTATCTCAGTGTCCACGGGGACCGAATGAAGTACGACCTTGCCCAAGCTGCTGCCGAGTCTAGGTGAGAACATTAGCCAATCACCATTATCAATAAGATTGTAGATGATAGTGTGTATCACATTTTTTCAAATATAATGCAGCCACCTGCAAACAGCTGCAGGGAAAAGATGAAAAATAAAAGATGGCACATACTGCTCTACTGTAATGCTTGCGTGGATGCTATTGGCTGCATCTGTCCTGGGCCACCCGTGTCTATTTTGTATCACCGTAACGAATTGCATCCTGGGCTGTACAAGAGTGTTCTATATGTCTTCACTGTTGAGCGTGCTTCACTAGAAGAAGCCTGGTGGGCATTTGTATAAAAAGTAATTTTTATTGTGACAATGTTCTGGTTTACGCATGAACCATTATGTGTATGTCCATTAGTTCAGGCCAGATGAATACAAATTTCACCGACAGCTTGATATGATTGACCATCCATCGTCAATGTCAGCGTCAGCTGTACTGTATTTTTTTATTTACACATAGCTTCGTGTTGGTAAGTATATTCTGCATGCCGCCTATCTGCTAAAGCAGCAGCCTTTTGCTGCAATCTTTAACGGATTTGTATTTGCTTTAGGCAATTAGAAATATTTTCATTTCCCCTTTTTTGTGAAATTACAAGAGCCTCTGTTGAATTCGGCTTTTCAATGAATACATATTTGTGTTTTATTGCATATTGCTTCTGGAATTAGGGTCGATTGTTACTGCTGAGATTGCTCACCAGAAAGGCAGGAAGGTCCGAGGAGGCAGCTGTGCCCGTCAGACTGTTGGTTAAGGTTATGGGAATTATTGTACTAAGTTTAGGAGGGGTTTTGGTAATTTCGACCACCTGGGGTTCTTCAAAGAATGTGTGTCGTGATCACACATTGGGAAGCCTTTAGCATTTCACCTCCATCAAAATGCAACCGGGTCCACTGCTGTGATTGAACCTTTAATTAAAGGGATGCTAAAAGACAAAACAGTTTTTTTTTATATTACTTAGTAACTCTTTTACAATTCCAAAGTACTAGCCACACTTGCCTCAAGAAGGCACTTGGTAAGCAAGGATATGCACAAAAATAAAAGGGGGAGGGTGCCGCCACATTGGAGTTCCCGCACCTAATATCTTGACGACGCAGATTTGGGTGATGTTTGCTATAGCCTATTTAGCTCCTAATTGGCAAAGTCGTCTGAACTGACCACCGAGGGGGCCATAAACTAAAGCTGCCAAGTTTCAGGAAATTTCATTGAGGCAACGTCGCCAAAATACAAGTACACATTAATATCTGTGACGTCAGGCGCAGAGATTTTGGCACAAAATTTATAAATAAAATTTTGACCGTGATTTTCTCCTCTATTAACAAAATTGGTGAAATTAATGAAATTAGAGTTCTTGGAGTGCACTTTATTAATCTGAACCGATTTTATTCATCGTTTCACTTTAGTGTCCCTTTAAGGTCGGAAGCCGAGTACTGTACCCGCTGAGCCGCGGCAGCGGCTTTGTGCGATTCGAAGGAAAATACCTCTTCACTTTATCCTTGTTCCTCCTGAGTGCAGTATGTGTGCAAGTTGAATTGAGGCGTTGCGTGACATGCCTCATCTGTGCGTGAGTGCAGGCAATGCCAGGACTTGCTGAGTCAGGCACAGTATCACGTGGCACGGGCACGCCGCATGGACGAGGAGGAGCGAGAGATCCGCCGTAAGCAAGAAGAAGAACGCGAGGCCCTCCGCCGCAAGATATCCGAGGAACAGAGGCTGCTCGAGGAACAGAAGCTTGAGCAGGAGAGGGCCATGATTATGAAGCGCCAGGAGTTTGTCGAGAAAAGCAAGAGCAAGATGCAGTTTGTCGACACGGGTGACGACAAACCGTCCAAAAAGTCGAAGGTGAGTCTACTTCTTACACGTCAGTGTCAACGTGGAAGAACTAGTCATGGAATAAAAACTGTACTGTTGAACGAAACACTATGAGTTAAGAAAGGTCGTACAATAAATGGTGGCCTTTTGATTGTTTCTGAATTTGTTTTTCTTTATTGTGCACCCATGTCTAAATACCAGAATGTTCCACATTTTGACAACCTATAGAATACGGTCTTCATGGTTACCAAATTGCGGTTGGCATGCAATAAAATAAGCCTTTTGTTAAGGAAGGCGGTAGCATTGGACAAATTCTTATACGCAGACTGCTAAGAGAGTCTGCTAAGAGAGGATTGTTTGTCTAAGCTATTTGGAATATTGCCTCTGGTAAGTTGCGCAGCCCCAAAAATGGCAAGGAAAAAAATAAGACATAAAGAAAAGAGGCTTGGTGCTGGTTCAGCTGGGAGCAATAGGTCTACTCCATTTCTATGAAATGTTCTAGTTTGGTTCATTCTTGGCATCTGAAGATTGCAAGTTAATTTCGCAGTGGTGTGATGGATGGTGTTGTTAGAGCAACATCTAAAGATGCATTCTCTTTTTGGTCAGATTTATGTATGTAACGTTGGCCAACACTTTGCCTGATGACATTCTCTTGGTGCTGCCATCTTTCAGGGACGCAAGACGCAGGACTACGTTAGTGACAGTAGCGACGAAGGAGGCGAGGTTGAGAATGGTGAAGTCAAGGAAAAGAAGAAGCGCAAGAAGCCGCAATCTGGTTCTGACGGTGAGGACAAGCCCCGCAAGAAGAAGAAGAAGAAGGAGTGAGTCTTTCTTTGCCCATCCCCCTCTTCCTTGAAGCATCTGCTAGACCCTTTGTTCTGCAGAATGAGTAAAGAAGTATGGTGTGGATGGTTGGTGCCATACCTCAATACGAAGAGCGATAGAGCGATAGAGCAGAACAGTGTACTAACGTGACCATTTAACAGTATTGAAAGTTCAGCTAGTTGGTAAGGCAGCATTTTTGAGTACAGGCGCAGGTCCAGTGAAGATGGAAGAGTACAACCTAGGTGCAGATGAGCCCTTGTCTGTGTCAGCGCTTGTCTGGGTCTCTTCAGTACCATTCCATTTTCACCCGGTTTCGTGGTGTACCGAAAAATGATCAGTGCATTTACTCCTGTGCAGATTTCATAGATGCAAAAGTGCTATTCATAGAAGTGAGCTTGAATAGGTTAGACTTGAAGTACAGTCTCCTGTTACTGTAGTTACTCGAATCTAGGCCGACCGCCCAAAAGTACGAAGCCTGAAAAAGAAAAAAAAAAAAAAATCTCTAATGTATGCCTAACGAAACAGCAAAGACCGTGTATACAAAGAGAAAACATTTACTGAACATGAAGATAAAACAAAGCAGTTGGTTCATGATGCAAGTAACTAGAGAAACATACAGCCGCTAGTCCTCTTGCGTGTGTCTTTTTGTTGTAATTTTTTTCGTGCTGCTTTTAGTTGCATCATAAAGATGCCGTGCTGGCCGGTGTCATGCTCATTCCAAGTTGTCAGCTGCTTCCCTAGTCGGTGACTTCTTTGCCGCTGTCTTCAAACAGTGCGCAATCCTCAATGCCCTCAAGCGCATTGGATATGCCGCACTTCTTAAAAGAGCGCACAATCAAAGTTCCCTGGTTGTCGTACCATGCTGCAGCCTCTTCAGTAACGCTCCACTCCACCAAGTCCCGCCCGGCTTGAATGTTGGACGACGACTCTGTGGCTAGGACAACGTTCCTTTTATAAGTGACATTATAATGACACCGCATGTTTGGCGCCGTTGAGCTACGCCGCACACAGACCACTTGATGCGCAACTCAAAATGACGAATGCTCGCCTCAACACTCGCCCCAATGATTAAAATGCGGCCTCACGTGTGTACTTAAACCAGGTGTTGCTTGGCTACTAACAGCTATAATGCAGTCTAGGTGGCACTAGCTGTGCACTGCTTTTCTCAATAAAAAATGGCCTGTTTTTAAACATTCTTCAATCTAAAGCGACCCTGGAGTTTGATGCAAAGAAATGTGGAAAAAAACCAAAAAAACTATCGGCCTAGATTCGAATAAATACAGTGTACCGTATTTACTCGCATAATCCTCGCACTTTTTTTGCCAGAAAATCGATGCAAAGTTGGGGGGTGCGAGAATTACGCGGGGAAAACTTTCCACGAAAATGCAGAGAGTGAAAAAGAAAACGAAGTGGCCGCAAATCGGGATTCTCACACCAGCAACTTACAGCAAGCTTTGAGAAGTACTAATTAGAACTTACCTCAACAATAAAAGCAGAGGTTCAACACAAGGCAAGATATATTTGAGACACAAAAAGTGGAAGCAAATAGTCGAGAATTAGAATAACATACGCAAAGCTTGTGGGCGTTGCGGTAACGATCGGCGCTCAACAGAAGCCCTCAAAAGGTAAGCGTAGGACGTCAGTATTGGGCTGATGGCTATTTAACAGAATCGTCTGCAGTTTCCTTCTGAAGAAATAAAGTTTACCATCAATCCCAGTGTTAGGCACACTGCAGGCCCAACGCGTCTTGGTGGCTTTCAGCTGCCGTCACCAGTAGCGAACGCAAAACTCGTAGGCTCCGAAGGGCCTACCGGCGGCCCTGTTGCCGTTGTTTAGTGCATGATCTATCACTTGCAACTTGAAGCAGCCGTGTGGCTTCAGTATCGCCCCATAACGTGCCAAGATTACCGACACAACACACAAAACACGCCGCTACGTGCACTGGCCACTTCGGCTTGGCTTGAATTGGATTGAATCTTCCGTGCAATAGTACGCTTGATGCTTAAGAGATGGACGCCACATGGTGCGCACTATCATCATCTATGGCTGGAACGAGCAGACGACATTATTGCGGCAGTTTTCGGGGGTGCGATAATTACTCGAGGAAAAAAAATCTTATTTTTTTTGGGCGATGTGGGGGGTGCGAGAATTATGCGAGTGCGAAGATTACGCGAGTAAATACGGTATTGTTGAAGCTGTCCACATAATTTGTTTCACACATTTTGAAGTGTAGCACATCATTTGCATTTTGTACCTCCATTGTTTTATTCTAGTGTTTTATTTCTGAAATGTTGTGTTTGTACGTACTTCTCCTTTTTCCTGTGTTCTACAATATGCTTGGCCTGAGAGTGCTTTTCAACCTCTCTAGTGGTTGTATAAAATACATACTTATTTTTAAGTAAATGAATTGAGTGCTTTAGTATTGGGAGAAATGATAGCTTAGAGACATGGATGCTGTATGTGTATATACGGACGTTGTGTGATTTAAAATGTGTGTTGGTCTGCTGTAGAGAAGTCTCTCAACAAGAAATATTCTTGTGTTTGTAAATGAATAGTGCCAGGTATGCGTGACTGTGTTAATAGCGGCACTTTTGTGCATTTCGCGATAGGCTTTAGTTTCATGACAGGTTTGGGCCTATTTGGCTTACTTGGCCTATTTTGTCCACTATAAATGCAAAGTGTACATCACATGTGGCAAAGCCAGGGAAGAAATGTTTTGAATGTCATATTCTATTGCAGTAAATTTTCACAATACTATATTTTGCTACCATGGTATTTTTATCGGTGTTGCTGCAGATGCACATTTCGTTTTCTTTTTTTTTGTTTATTTGCAAAGCAGGCAAGCTGTCTTAACAACCACAGTAGTAGACTGAATCCTCTGCAGAGTGCATATACTGTGAAAAATTAGAGCATGAACAAGCTGGCTGTTTTTTAGTAGATCAGTTGCGTGAGCTTGGGGCTCCCATTTAGAGGACACCCTGGTGACAGGCTATTAGGTCTCTTTCTGTTATTTTTTTTTGTGTGGACCAGTTGAGGTAAAAAATGGGAGGGGCCCGACTGACACATTAGTACTTTTTAATGTAAAAAAGTTAAGTTTGTTTCGGCAATACTGGTCAGTGGTAACAGTATAAATGTTGGCTAATGCAGGCACATGAGCCGCAGAGATGGTGGGGAGAAAGAGAAAAGCCGTGGCCGCAAGGGAGGCAAGGTCAGCAAGAAGGCCGCCGCCGCTGCACTCAAGGATTCGGGCATGTCGGCAAAGCAGCGGCTTCGCATTGTCTCCAAGGAAACCATCTCCTCCAGCGAAGATTCGGACTCTGGTAAAGGTGGCAAGTCTAGGTGAGAATTTATTCCGCAGCATTCTATGCAAATCGTACTGCCCTGTGCAATTTCTTAGCAGTCTGCTTTCTTTGCACCTTTTCCTTGATATCTATTTGTAGGAAATCGCAAATCCTGTGTAGCAGGAAATCTTGCCAAATGCAAAATAGTATGGTCACTTCCTGCCCCAGCGTTGCTTTTGCATGACCGCAGCGAAAAATGGTAGTGAAGTAGTCTAGCCCGATTTGCAGAAAATGCCTTTGTATCATCACGTTATCATCGTATCTTTTGGACATGTTAAATGCAATGTTTAGGATCTTGCTACGTTTATCGTGCTTCTGAATTTATCTAGGCATACAATGGTCCTTAAAAAAGTTACTCTTTCTTGAAGCTGTAGAGGTTAAATTACCCAAGATGAGTTAGCACAGGCGCATATTGATGCATTAAATAAACCGTTAACAGTTAAAAAAAAAAAGCATGAAAGGGAAGATGGAAGCTTGTGATGAGAAATACGAAAACTGGGGATATGTGCTGGAGCCGACGTTTGTCAAAACATTGGCTCCAGCATCCATCCCCTGTTTTCGAATTTCTTACTGTAAACAGTTAGTGATTTTTTACACCTCCCTGATGAGATAGCTTATCTCACATTTTTTTAGTATCACAGTGGTGTGAGCTGTGGTTGGAGAGAGTGCAGATGCTCTATTAAAAAAAAAACAATTCTTCTGCCCCTTTTCTGTGCCTGACCAGTCCTCTTTGCCTGCTAACTCATGAATTTTTTCACAAATGCAATGTTATGTAGCACTAACCTTTGCAATTGATTCTCCAAACTACAAAATTGTGCTTTCGGCTTGTGGTAAAGTGGTTTTGGCAGTGAACTTGTCACGTGCATCGCACATTTTTTAGACTTGTGCGAATAATCGAATGCTTCAAATATTTGAATGAATAGTTGAGTATTCAAATTCGCTTGGATTTGAATTTAAATTATCGAAAATTTTCGAAGTATTCGCAACAAACAAATAAATGTATATTAGTCTGCATGTAAAGGTTGTTCCACCGCAGTGTAGGGGTGCTAAGCCGCGAAAGCATTTAATCAGGGGAAATTCGCTTTACCGCGAAGCCCCCCTTCAAATTTAAAGGGGCCTTGCAACACTTACCGAGCATGGTCAGAAAACGTTGCCGATCGGTAGTCGAGGCTACCGGGAGCACGGAGGGCAAATATTATAGCGTAGCATGTGGTCGGTAATTCTCAATAAAATTTCAAAGCTAAAAATCTCTTGGCAAATGACACTACAAGCTCAAAAATAACTTGTCACAGCCAAGAAGTAATACCGTATAAACGCGTGTAAGGGGCGCACTTTTTTTTTCAGGAAGTGAGGGCTAATTTTCAGGTTGCAGCCCATACACGGAACTTTTTTTTGGTGAACTAAAAACAACGTACTAGTTAGTGAACGAAGAGCGTTTATTGCAGTATGCCACGTAGCACTTAATCGTCGTCACTCGACGAGTCCTCTAACTCGGAGTCCGAGATAGTGTGTTGCGGAGCACCATCATTCCACAAACAGTCATCTTCCAGGCTGTTGGATATCCCAGTGACCTTAAAACTTCGGGACACAATGTCCGTCGACACCGAGCTCCACGCCCACAATATCCAACCGAGAACAGTAGCAAGCGGTGCCCTCTTCAGCCGTCCGGTCGGCGTGTGCTCATGGTTGCCATCCATTCCGTGTAGAGTCTTCGGAATTCAACTTTGAATGGTCTATTCACGCTCACATCCAATGGTTGCAACATTCCTGTGAGGCCGCCTGGAATCACGGCCATGTTTGTGCCGACACGGCGCAGCTGCTCCTTCACCTTATCGGTAAGGTGGCCGCGGAAACTATTTAATACTAAAAGTGAATGTTTGGCCAACAAAGCTCCCGGTCTGTTCTGCCAAACACTTTTCACCCAGTCTAGCACCAAATCATCGTTCATCCATCCCTTCTCTTGGGCTCTAACTATGATGCCCTTGGGGAAAACTTTGTTCGGAATTCTTTTCCTTTTCAAAACAACGTACGGGGGTAGCTTCCGCCCGTCCGCGGTCACACAAAGCATCACGGTGCAGCGTTGGCGCTCAGCGCCGGTGGTCCGCACGGCGACACTCTTCTTGCCTTTTACTTCGACTGTGTAGTTCTCGGGAGAGTCAAACCACACAGGAGTTTGATCAGCGTTCACTATTTGCGACAACAAATAACTGTGCTGATGGCGCAGGCCGATGACATGCTTGTGAAAACTAAGTACCTTGTCGGTATAGTCTTCTGGCAGCCGTTGGCACAGCGTGGTCCTTCGCCGAAAAGAGAGTCCCTTTCTTTTCATAAACCTTCGCACCCAGCCAGCACTAGCCTTGAAATCCCCGGCCGGTATATTTTTCGCACGTGCCAAGGCTAGTGCCTTCATGCGCAGCATGTCTGTAGTGAGCGCAAAACCATCGTTCCGCACCTCAGTCACATAGCGGAGCAACTCCTCTTCCAAATCGGGATACATGCACTGTTTTCCTCGGAAAGCGCGCTTTTTGATATTGGTGTTCTGCAAGGCTTTCTTCTGGGTGCACCAACGTCGAACACACTTCTCGTCAACGTCGAATTTTCTGCCGGCGGCCCGTTTCCCATGCTCAAGGGCAAACTCGATCACCTTCAACTTATAGCCAGCTGTATAGCTATTCAGCTGCTTGACCATCGTGCGAAAACGTAAACGTCCCGCAGAAAACTAGCTGGAGTCCCAGAGTCATTCAACGGTGCGCAAAACTCGAGTACATGGCAGGCTGAACAGCACAATGACCGAACAACGCACAAACACCAAAGTTGGTGATGCTAATGCCGATATGGATAGCGCGTTTGTACAGAAGTGTCAGAAGTTAAAGATAAAATCCTGCTTTAACCTTTAGTTGGCGGGTGTATGAACACTACTAAAAAAACTAAAAATTTTTAGCCAACTTCATGAACATATTAGCATGAAGAAAACCAACAAATTATTCTAATGATGTACTATATGGTGATGATGAGAATTGCGTTCTCTAACGCCATCTACTGACAACGCCTAGTATCTCACACACGCGCGCGCATTTTGAATACGCATGGGTCAAGGAAAGTGCGGATGCGGCCCTTACACACAAATTTTTTTTTTTTTTTTAATATGTGCTCCTTAAAAACGGGATGCGGCCCTTACACGGGTGCGGCCCTTACACGCGTGTATACGGTATACGGCTCTGGTCACAGCCATTGGCTGATTTGAGCATGGCGCACTTGTCGTTACTGGGGCCGCCGCGTGAGGCCACCGCGTGTCCACGAGTGTGTGCGCGATCGCTCTGAGATGCCACGTATCCGGGGAACGTGCTCAAGGTCACGAGGTGTGTGTAATAAATTTTCTTTCGCCGTGCCATTCCTCCCTGCTTAGCTTTCAACTATTTTATCAGGACGAGAAGAGAGAATGAAATTCAGTGTGCGACAAATTTTTTGGAACTCCGCTCGTACTGGACTGATTCTAGAAACTTGGCGGCGGTATTGTGAAGCAGCAAGCTTGTCTACCGACTCCATGACTACTTGAAAAAGTGTTGCAGGGCCCCTTTAAAGGAATATGTAACCCTCAAATCAATTCTTCATTTTATTAGGCTTGTTATGACAGCTTATATGCTCCAAGTATAATAAATTTCAAAAGGTTATGTATCTTACAGGTTATCACTCGCACCCTACTCAGGGGCGGCGCCAGGATGTTTTTACTGGGGGGGCAACCACGAAAAGTGAGTTCCTCCGGGGGGGCAAGCTAGCTCTGCTCCTACTAGGTTTTCAATATATGCTTCCGGGCACTTGGGTGGGCATAGGGGGGGCAGGCGAGAATTTTGGAGGGGCTCCAGCCCACCCTTGCCCCCCCCCTGGCGCCGCCCCTGACCCTACTAAAACTACTACTCAAGGTGGTCTCGACTTTCTTTGAATGAAAAAAAAAAAAGACATTTGCGTAGAGCCTCTATTTCAATTCAAAAAAATATTGTGCAGGTTAGTTAGGTCATGATAAATATTCCTTTTTTTATGTCATACATACCATTCGAATTCAATTCGAAATCATTCGATCAATATCACTATTTCCTTCGAATTCGCTTCGAACCAAGAATTCAATATTAGCACAAGCCTAGCATTTTTTAAACCTCCTGAGTACTTTGCATCACGCTTCCTCGCCCTGTACCTGCTAGTAACGGACACAAGCAACACATGGTAAGAGCCTTGATCAGTCATTGGCTGTGCGCCAATGATGTAATCACTGACATCGTGTTATATTGTGCTTGGGGGCATCGTCATGAAGGTTGGCATCGTTTCCATCCTTCTGCACAGCAGAATAGGGTAGAGAGGTCAAGCGGGAAACCAAAACTAGCCAAAACAATTGCTTTACCTCCCGTAACTTAATTATAACACCACTTAGTATATGCGAAATTCTCCCTCCCCCCACTTCTACCTCCTCTGCAAAGACGGATTGTGCTGAAGTAGCTTGTGAACATTCATGGACTTATGGGCCGCCGTGCTTTCCTAGCCATGTTTAGCTTCACTAATAAATTTAAACTAACATTCTGGGAGTGGTACAGGTTCATGCCGTGGCCTTATTCAGGCAGTTTGTACTCATTCTTTTTGGCAAGACCGCACTTCGCTGTCTACATTCTTAGTTTTCACATTACAGATTTTTTTGAGAATGCTTTCTGAGGCTAGTCTTATCCATTTAATTTAGCATCTATTTAATTAAGTTAAAGCTTGCTTCTAACACTGGTGCTGGCTTTTCCGGTGCAGTGACAGTGAGGATGAGGGCTCCAAAGGAAAGAAGCGCAAGCGCATCTCGTCGGGCAGCGAGGCTGGAGACTCCGACATCGGAAAGGGGAAGAAGCACCGGATTGTCTCGTCAGACTCAGAGAACGAAAAGGAGGAGCCTTCAAACAAAGGGTAAGATAACAGGGTTTCATTTTCGAATGAAAAATGAGAACTGGTGGCTTTCTGGTGGCTTTCTCAAGAAAAAATACGGGGCGTAATGCAAGTTGACTACTGAGTTTGTTTAGATTAGTCACCACATGGTGACATACAGTGAAAGTTTGTAGATTGAATCCCCATTAATTTGGCAAATTAGATAATTCAGACCTGTTACCACGTCCTGGTCACCCCATTGATTCTTCGGCGGCATAAGACTACCGTTATTCGGCCGCCTTTGGCTGCAACTTAATTAATTAATATGAGTGCACCGAGTGCGAAGCGCTGCAATTGAGCGACGAACAATAGCGAAAATGTGGTTCACAGACAGCTGAAACGATGTGGCTATGTTCACATGGCTTTTTTTTCTTCAATAAGTGACCATGTTTTTGTCTGCATGCGTATCCGACACTAAGCAGCTTCATTTTAACTTTAGGCAATGCACATGAAAAGTCACGAAACTCAAACATGGCAGAAGCTGTTGAAATTGAAGAGCTTTCAGCTGCGGTAGGCTGGCTGGCATAAAACTTTTTTGCCGCATTGCGATGGATGAACTGTCTGTTGCCAGCCATTTTAGCTACAGAAGAACCATCCTTACGTGCGTGTGGTGCTGGGGTTCGTGACGGTACGGACAAGGAGGGGTGCAGAGCATGTTTCAGGCTAATTAAGCACAGCAGTCTGGTACCGTGGTTGCATTGAGAACAAAGTTGTAGGAAGACAAAAATTGTGATTTTTGCATTACTCTTATGCTAAGAAGAGCAGAATTTTGATATTTATGAAGAGAATGAAAATGTATTGATGTAACACACATTTCTTTGTTATTTTCTTGATAATAAATAATTTGGCATTTGTCTTATTCGAACATTTTTTCTGATTCCACAAAATTTGAATTAAGGAGCTTTTACTGTACAGTGTGGCCCATTTATAACGACCCACTTACAGCGAAATAGCGGTTATACCGAAGAAATATTGATTTCCCAATCTAACTTCTGCATTTTCAATGTCTTTTAACTCTAGTTTTAACGAAGTCTGTAAGCCCACCTCAGTGGATATAGCAAAGCATTCTTTTTTTGAGGTAAAGAAAAAGAAAAGGTGCCATAAAACGTCCTTTTTGAACTTTTGCGTGAATCAAAACGGTTGAAAAACTGCTAATTCTTGGCTTCCAGCAGCCTCCCGCAGCATCATTTGCCCTTTCGCTCAGTTATTTGCGAAAGCTTGCTTCACCGCACAAATGGCACCCCGACCGGACCCAGCTAGCACAGGGCCGAGTGGACTGGCGCAACATGGGAGAGGCTTTTGTGCTGCAGTGGACGTAGTCAGGCTGATGATGCTGATGATGATTCACCACATCACATGGTCACCATCGCCAAAAAAAGCGTATGCTTTCTATTTTTTTCAGTGCCAGGCCGGCCAACTGCCGGGTAAAATGTTGCTGCTACCTTATCTCGTCACAATGCATACTACATCCTCTATCCTGCTTCACAAGAACGCCGCCCCACACTTTGGGCCTTTGGGCCACCCATGGGGCCATGTCAGGCCATTTGTACTTGTGGTGCTACATTGTGGTGAAAAGGCAAATAGGTGCGTGGTGCCACCAGCGGTGCCTGCTTAAGCCTGCCGTGCTTGTTCGCGTGACTCGCGTACGCAAACAAAGCACTACAGTTTGAACAGCACAAGCACTCGCACGATTGTTCAACTCTGTTCACTGGTGAAAAGCAGATCAGCGCAGCGCACTTGGACTCTTCTGCAGTAACAGCTTGGCCCACCCTGGGTACTGACTAACTCTTCGGCATTGTCGAGTTCAGTGATACCTGGAACGTCGACCTCATCCACGGCCAAACAAAAGGTGTTTTTCGTCAATGTGAAACGTGCCATTTTGGATAAAGTTCGCCAGATAATCGAGAAAAGAGACATTGTGGGGAAGTGTGGCATAGCCCAGACTGCTTTGGCCACCATTATAAAAAAATTCCAGTAAAATCGATGCTGTTCTGGATGACGACGGTGGCAACAATGAGCAGAAGTAGATCCGCGCTTCCACTTACGTCGATGTTGAAGCAACCCTCTACCATTGATTTGTAGATGCATTATCAAAAAACGTCCCTCTTAGTGGGCCAATTGTTCTCGCGCAGGCCAAATGTCTGGGGTTTGTTCTTGGCCCTGAGAACTTTAATCCAGGCAACGAATGGTTGCAGCGATTGGAAAACCGCCATGGCATCGCGTACAAAAAACATTGTCGGTGAAGCTGAATCTGTTGACGAGGACGGTCTCTAGTATTGGATGGAGAATCACAGGTGCCGCATTCTTGACACATATGCTGAAAGGGATATCTACAACACTGATGATACGGGGCTGTTTTTTCAGTTACTGCGAGCAAAAATTCTCGTGGCGAAGACTGATGAATGCGTGGGATGAAAAAACAGCGAAAATCGCATCACGATTTTGGTCTGCTCGAATATGGATGGCACAGATGAGCGGCTCCTATTGGTCATCGGCAAGCATAAGAAACTACAGGACTTTGCCAAGTTGCTGTTAATGCCGGTAAAGTAAAGACACAACACAAAGGCAGGGACGACGGGGGACATCTTCTGCAATTGGCTCACTGACTTGACAAAGAAATGAGCTCGAAGGAGCTCAAAATGCTGCTTCTGCTTGACAACTGCAGCGCACACCATGTCAATGCATATCTAAGCGCTGTCGAGGTCCTTTTCCTGCCTCCCAACACAACCGCTATGATGCAGCTGATGGACCAGAGAGTGATCGCAAACTTGAAGTTCACTATCGCTGCCGTGTCATTGAGCGTCTTTTCATCGACATCTCTACAGCTGATAACTCGGCTGACTTGAAGGTACCACTGGTGAAGGCAATATTTCTTGCAAGTAGATCCTGCAGGGACGTAAAGTCTTGGATGGTCCTACATTGCTTCCAAGAAGTGGGTTTCTCGTTACGAAGCAGCACTGCCGAAGAAGAGACAGCAGCAGCTGGTGCCGCGGCTGTGACGAGCTTACGGCAGCTTTGGGAGGCCGCTGGCAATGCAAGCGTTGTCCCAAGGTGGTTGGATTATATGGACTTCGCACTCACTCATATATGGACTTCGCACCCGCGGACTAAGGACCTCGTCGCAACTGAGGAGCTTCACCTCCGAGGAACTCGCCACTAGTGTCTCGGGAAAGGAAACAATTGCCAATAGCAGTTCCTTGCACCCTGAAGGCGATGACATTGTTGCACCTCAGCCAGTGATCTACAGAGTAGCTCTCGCAGCTGTTGATGCACTGCGTACGTACTTGAGTTCCGAACCGGTCGATTGCGCTCTGATGTACAGTGTTCAGGCCATTTTAATACCCGCACTTGCGAAACCTGTACCGGGGACCATCGACCACTTTTTCCAGAAGGTATAAATAAAATTTTCTACTTGGTCTGCTTGATGCCTGAACTTTCTTTTTTTGTTAGAGGTTAGATATAGCAAAAAAGTGGTTATAGCGAAGTAATGTCTGATTCTTGCCAACTTCGTTATAACTGGGGTACACTGTAGTAGGAAACAAGTACTCATACATGACATTTGTTCCAGCTATCCTAATTGATTCTCAATGCTATTGATGTGTGGTTGGTCACACTGGTAAGCTGGCCATTGCACGAACAACACGTGAAATGGTATATGTAAAAAAGCACTTAGTGTTATGGATATGTGTTCTTATAAACATATGTCTTTTGTCCTTCTAGGTCTCTGCGAGCAGTCCAAGACGCTCAAGGTCAAGGTCAGCATCTGGCTCCCGCTCTGGGTCTAATAAGTCACGATCTGCTTCGAGGTCCAAGTCCCGGTCTCGTTCGAGGTCCAAGTCTGGATCTCCTGCCAACTCTCGATCTGGTTCTCGTTCTAAGTCACGTTCCAGGTCCAAATCTGGCTCACGATCAAGATCAGGTTCCAGGTCGAAGTCTCGGTCAAAGTCTAGGTCAGCCTCTAGGTCCCGCTCACGGTCCAAGTCTGCTTCTAGGTCAGGCTCCCGATCTAGATCTCGGTCGGGCTCGAGATCGAAGTCAGGCTCACCATCGAGATCGGGATCGAGGTCGAAATCGGGGTCTCCGGCCCGCTCGGCATCCAAGTCACCTTCACGCTCACGGTCAAGGTCAAAGTCTGGATCAAGATCACGGTCCAGGTCAAAGTCCGGCTCAAGGTCGCCTTCGAGATCGCGTTCCAGATCACGTTCAAAATCAGCTTCCCGATCTCGGTCTGGTTCACGTTCACAATCTGGAAGTCCGGCTGGATCAAAGCAGGGCAGTCCACCTGGGTCCCCTGCTCAGTCCGGCTCGGAAAGTGAGTGAGCAGTCTGTCAAGAGTAAAGACTGGCCAGTGCCTGTTCTTTGTTTCATTTTCTTTTCATACCTGGAAGTAACATTTGTCACATCGTCAGTAGTCTCAGAGACAATAAAATAAATATTGTCTGTTGGATTTGCTTTATTTGTGTAAGGATGTTTCTTTTTTCTCAAGACAGGCACTCGTTTTACTGCAAAACATTCACAAGTTTCACGTAACAACACGGGGTCTCGCGAGCCACATAGAGCCCGTGTGGCGATGTTACGGTATGTGGCCCCGGCACCGAGTCAAACCCCCTGCCGACAGTGCAGTTTGGACATAATACTATGAGATTTTTGCTTGTATACTACGTTTGATTGCAAACTTTGTGCATGCACGCAGAAAATAAAACATGATTTTGAATCCAGTTTTGCAGATCAGCATCAATGCACGGAATTTTTACGTTTTGCCTGCAAAGCCCTTTCCTTCTCCCAACTTTCTGTGTGGCCTCTTGCTGTCTTTGCTTCATGTAACTTGGCCCTCTGCCTCAAAAGGTTGCGGACCCGTGCGATACAAGAAATGCAAACAAAACAGTGCTATATAACCTGCACGTAAAAATACTTAAGGTTTAGAATGTTGTGTAAGAAATTTAGATTCTTGTAGTCAAGTGCCGAGGCCATGATCGAATATGGAGGCCCTTATAATGAGGTCTGTGGGTAAACCTCTACCATTCAAAATTTTACCATGCAGTTCATACAAAGTGCTGCAAAATATTAAGCAAGCATCCCTTTTAAGAAAATTTAAATGTGCACCACTGACAGAGAAAGCGCCCTTCTTCCCGCCCCGTCATTTTTTTTTAACCTGTTCTTCACTACAGAATCCTGCAGCAACGGTTCCTAGGAAGTCGAGTTCTGGAAGTCTTTAGATATGTGCACGCTTTCTTCGTGCTTTTACGGCGTGGCCTCAGAGTTGCATTCTGAGTTGTTGCAAATTGTCGGTGCATTTGAACGACACCTTCACCCCTTCTAATAACACGTGAAATTTTACACGAGGATTTCATCTGGTTAAGTAAAACCGTTAGGTGTATGCATACTTCAGTAGAGCATTTAATTTGAAGCACAGGTGATGATTATTGACTATTAAAACTTTGTTTTGGTCCTGAAAAGACGCAGGAGAGACCCCGCACCACCCGGCTAATCCCATGAAGGAACTGTCAAGCCGAGCTTGGCGGCCCATTCATGGGCGCTCTGGACCGCCGGGGTTTGATTGTTAAGTTCGGGGCTGTGTAAGAGCACTGCCCACCTATCCTCGCTGAAGGTGGAGCAAATGGCTTCACATTTCCACAAACCATGGTTGAATGTTGATAATTGTCCAGAGGCAGGGCAATCCGCACTTGGATACCGTTCAGGGTGCATGACATGAAGAACCGCAGGGTTAGGGTACGCATTGGCTTGCCTGCGCCCTTCACAAGGCAGGTTGTGGGAGGGGGAATACGGGTCGTGACAGACAGAAGTGTTTTGTTATTTCGTAGAATGTCAGTAAGGGTTTCCATTGAGGCAGAAGGACTGCGGAGGTGGTGCGGTCAATGAGTCCTCGCGCGGCCTTGTGTGTGCCCTCGTTAGGGTTAGAGGTAGAGCCCTCAGTTGACCCCAGGTGAGCGGGAAACCAAATGAGAGAATGGGGCCCGATACTCATGATGCTTTGGAGAATGTGGAAGGCCTGAGGGGCTCCCATCTTGGTTTTGTAGGTCTTGATAGCCACCTTGGAGTTGTCGTATATTGACTCTCTGCGACTATCAAGCTGCGATGTGTGGTGCGCGTTCAAAGTGCGCGCCTTCGAAAAGTGCGCGTCACGGAAAAAAAAAAAACAAAAGGAGAAATACCAGAGTGCACGTGCGGTGCTGCTTAAACAAGAATGACGACGTTAAAGAGCGTCAAGCACGAGGATGCGTGGCAGGACGTGAAGTAAACAAAAGGTAAAACATCCAATGGGCAGCGAACACGGAGATTTCAAGGCCCAATGGCTTGACACCACGAAAGAGCAGTATCTCCAATGAGAACGAGACAAGTGGGCCAGAGCTGAAGCAGGAGCCTGAGCAGACCAGAGCAAGGGGAATTCGAGGCAGGCAGTGCAAGCGGAAGGTCGTCACCGGACCGGGCGCTGAAGATGGGCCGTTGGGTTCCGGACCCGAGCCTACAGGACTTCCACCGGCCGGGGCCTCCTGCTGTCGGGTTCCCGCTCCAAAGGACCGTGGCCATCCGGTCCTGAACTCCTTTCCAGGGCCTGCGGACTTTGGTTCCGGCAGGCGGGCTACAGCCGTCGGGCTCCGGGCCCGAGCTGTGCGCCCAGCTGCTTGACTAGGTCGACCCTAGTTCCCGGACGCGTCGCCACCAGCCTGCGTTCTCCCGTCTCCGACGTGTCCACGCTCCTCAAGCCGAAACCATCACGATTTGGTAGGGCTTTTCGACGTGTCGCCAGCAGCCAGCGTTCCCTCGTCCTCGTCCAGCCCACGCACTGACGCAGGAGTCACGGCGTTCCGGTTTCTCATCACCGCCGAAAACCAACTTGTGGGTGAGACTGCACCGATACTCTTGCGCTACTCCCATCACTCAGCCTCTTTCGAACGTTAGGTTTAGTTACTGACTTTGAACGTTCTTGTTGGGTGTTTACAGATGTGTTTCGTCATGTCCAGTCAACTGTTTATTAAGTGTTTGTTTTGTGAGGAATCTTTGCCTTCTTACTTTTCAATTAAACTTTTTGTGTGTTTCTTGGAAACCGAACGGCTTTGTCCTTATTAACAAAACTCTCTGAGGCTCAGCCCGGGAGAAAAACAAATCAGCAACAAGAACCCCGCATCACACAAGCCTAGCTAATGCGATAGCAACTTGTTCGGCTATCACAGGCTTCGATGTGCGTACTGTGGTGGAGCAAGTGAGCCTGGAATTTTAGTCGACGATGGAAACAGCGATGGCCTCTTGTAGGACATACGGGGCAGCATCCACAAAGCTTGCATCAGTGGGGTTGCTATGAACGTGCTCGAGCACAGCTCTACCACTGGCCCTACGTCAACCGACGTGCGCAGGGTGCATATTGCGGGAAATGGGTGAGAAGTGCAGTTTGGAACTGATGTTTCTAGGAATCTGCATGGAATCGGGGCACTGGTCAATAGAATTGCAATGTCACAAATTCAAGGCCACGGGGCAGTAATGGTATGCTTAATAACTCTGAGCTGTCTCAATCTAATGAGCTGGTTACTTAGTGATGCAACTCATAATAAATTGCATCATCCCAGCCTACTGTAAGTAGTTAGGAAAAAAAAAACAAGTTTTACGTTTAAAGTAAGGCCAGCTGTTCTTTACTCCTTGGTTGCTCAAGAAGTTTACACATCGTAACTGTTGCGTCCAACACACTTTGTCCGGTTTGTGATGCATTCGTGCTGGCAGTAGACAAATGCATTTTTCACTTGTGATTTATAGTGTGCATCGACGATGTGGACATTTTATTTTTCCAGTTCTTCGTCTTGCAGATTTACTTTTCATGAACAGACTTGGTTGCTGGTCCACCTGAAAAGTTCAAAATTGACATTTAAGGAGAAGCCCATTATTGTTCTTCTCACCATTTGGATTAATAGATTGTAACTTGTATAATAGTACAATAATTTGGAAGTTTTATGCAATGGAGTAATGGCTGGAAAGAAATAATGCTGTTCCGTGTAAGCCAATAAATACACAAGCAATCCTAGCAGATCTTTGGTATGTTCTTATGTATACCTTAGCATTTCTCATAACTGAAT